CCACAGTGCAGTGCTACCTGTAGCACTGCAAGCCGGGCACCCTCCAAAGGTTTGTCAGGATCCACCTTCACCTCAGGTGTCTGGGTGAACACCTCCAGCTCAGACACCCTGGAACAGGCTGTGAATGCACCCTGTTTGAGAGGAGGGCAGATGATATTTTTTCACTTTTCTCTCAGAGTTAACTTACTTCCAGAGTGACAAAGCGCGCCTGCTGCTGGGGTCTGTCTGGGTTTACTTTGACTGTCTGGCTGGACTTGAACTCCTGCAGGTCTGCAAGCCTGGTGCACGCTTGATTTGCACCCTGGCCATTAAGTACACAGTAAAAGAGATGCATAGATGCACAGACAAGATAGCCATTAATCGTTCACAGTTCAAGAAAATCAGTCAGGAGCTGCTGTCCATACCCTGATGTCATTATTGTAACAGTAGTGTACCTAGTTATTTAACATGTTCATTTACTTTCCCAACACACAGAGCACAACAAAGTGACTTGAACGAGCCTGTATGAAAAAAATGTGAATGAATGACAAATTAGATAACTGATCAGAGCCTTAGTAATAGCCCTCAACAATGCTGACATTGATGTCACTATATAACAGTTTGGTTGCCGGTGTAACTGAACTACTTCACTCCTCCTTCAGTTAAACCTGCCTTGAAATTTGGGATCCTGTTGTGAACAGGCCTTGGGAAGTTGGCCAGATTCTTTTCTTCGATGTAGTCCCAAACTTTCTGACGAATGTCCCATTTGGACGCTCCTGAAGAGAAAACGAAGCAACATTAGCCAAACGTTACCAACAATTACATCTGCTTCACTTTGGCATGCGTCGATATTAATTTTTAACGACAAAACTAACGGCACGAACATTTACCCTACCAGGATGTATTTTTATATCAGGCTCCATTGTGTTATCAGTGAATACAAATTAGTCTCTTCTACAGCACTTCAAGCAGTAAAATGTCACACGTGAGTTCTGTAACATAATACTAGAGGAACAGCTGCTTGTCATGTTTATCATTGCTACGGTGGTTCGGGAAGACCAGTCTTAACAAAACGCGAAAACGACAGCGCCACGAAGTGGCTCGCAAAAGGAACCACACCGGAGTACGTTTAACGAAATACTGGCTCTATTTAGGTGAGTATTTTCTAACTTCACTGTTCTACTCCTTCCTCTCAAACTTCTATGCCTTAACACCATAAAGCGCTCACCTGCACAGACATCGTTCTCTCTCAGCGTCTCTCAGCGTCTCTCAGCTTCTGATGTTGTTTAATGGCGGTTGGCAAAAAATCAAAAAGCCAAAAAACAATTGACTTTATAGTCCCTTCCTTTACTGAACAATTAGCTTGGACGAAACCAAACTTCATTTAGGGGGTCAATGTTTATCTCATTTTTTTTTTAAATCAATCGACTAAAAGTTACTTTTATCAGTAAATATCAACAGTACAAAGAGGCCATGAATCATAACTTATTAACAAACTATTTAATTGCTCTAAATCAGACAAATATTAACTTACACAGTATACTACACTCGAGACCACCCCCACAGTCATGGTATAACCTGTGACATCATTGATGACATCAGCAAGAGCATAAAATAGGGAAATATTTGGCTGCCACACCCTATGGCAACTCAATGGTGAGTATAAAAGATCACAGTGCTCAGATTAAACCAATGAAGTACAGTAGAACTGTATCTATTTAACCAAAAAAAATAGTGCTGGTCACTGTAACACAATGCTAACCAAACAAACTTGTGATAGAAAGGTTTTCCAGTGCTAAAGATTAAGGTAGAAATCTGACTAAACAAAGCATGTATAAAAACGCAGACGCATAAAAAAATTAATGTGGGTGCAAGTGACATTAGCTACTAACTTTTGGACATACATTTACAAAGATTTAACTCTTCCTAGCCTCTGAATATTTAATGGCTAGCATAACTACTAACCATTGGACATTAAGCCTAGCATAAAGCTTTATTGAACATTGTCAGTAACATTAGCTTCTAACTTTTGTATTCAGAAATTTTTATCGTGAAATGATATGCAAACATGTCAATAGCATTAGCTGCTAACATATAGAAAACAAGGCTAGCATTAAGCTAAGCACAGCAGTGTCACTAACATAAATCAGGCATTATACGATTAGCATTAGCTGCTAGAGTTCTAAAGTTTGTGCATTACAAGGATAGCATTAAGTAGCATTAGCCTTAGTTTCTGTCTCTTGGACAAAGCCTAGCATTAAGCTACATTACAAAGTGTCATTAACATTAACTGCTACCTTTGGTCTTCAGAAATATAATGGTAAGATAAAATGAAAACATGTCAGTGATATTAGCTACTAACTTATGAGATACAGAGCCAGCATTAGCTGCTACAGTTTTAAAGTTTGGACATTATAAGGCTAGCACTAGTTACTAAACTTCTAAAATTTTGACATTACATGGCTAGCATAAGGTACTACTTCACTGCTAACTTTTTGACCTTCCAATTGCAAAGATGGCTTTAGCTCCTCCTAACCTCTGAATATTACAAGGCTAGCTTTAACTACTAACTCTTGGACAAAGGCTACACTCCCTTTTTGTCATATGTATAACATATCATATCATATCATAGACAGAAATCTTGATGACTTCTTTTTGATCTTGATTACTTATCAATATTTACACCATGATGTTCATAATCTGGTCTCTGCCCAATAAGCTATGAAATAGCCTTGTATTAGCCTATAGCCTTGAAATTACTGCTTTAAACCTCTGCATATGAATCCTCATGGTGCATGAGTTATGTTTCCCACAACCATCAGAACTTTGTGGTGAGATTCCAGTGGATAGCTGTGTTTGTACTGGTTTTGAAGTATTTGCAGATGGTCTGAAATACCCTTGTTAGGACAGAGGGCTTGAAGAACAAGAATTGTTTAACATTCTTCCTCTTGTGTTGAGAAAATGAGTCCTCCTCAGCTAGTGAACTACATACAAGGAGCCCACAGAGGAAGACATGAGGGGGAAAAAAACTATACTTGTGAACTTAAAAGGGCTTAAAAGGATCTTTGTAACAGTAACATTTTGATATATAACTACCTCATCTCTTTTTAACTGGATAAAGATTAAAGTAAATTGAATTTAACTTATTTCCACTATACAATCAAACACCTTAATAAGCCTATGAATATTATTTTTCATTGGATTAACACTCTGGAAAACAAACTCAAGAAAGAGGTTTTTAGTTTTTTTTAATGAAAAAGTCAAATGTCAACAAGCACAAAAAATCAAGTAACCAATTTACATTACAATTACATCAAATTTTCAAGAGGAAGATAATAAGACTATGATTGTAACATGTCTTGTTTGTAAATATTTTAGAGATAAAGTTAAAGTTAAAACTGATTTTGTTATCTTGTATTTTGTGGAAAGTAAAGAGATGGGGCCTGATCATGCCTTGAATGGCCTTTTTTACAGCAGACAGTCATTTTGAGTTGTTTTAGTAGAAAAAGCGCTAACATTAACAATGGCTCTGTTCTATTCAAGGGTCCCAGTAAATCATGACAGTGTGAACACCAGAACCTGGAAACTGAAGCAACTAAATGGAATTCAGCCATTATTCATTTTATTTATTATTATTTTACATGACATGAACAAAACAAAAATTTTGGTCAGTAGTGCCTTTATTTGCCACGTCTGTGCAAGAGAGCATAAAAAAATTGTAGGCCAAGTCGACTGCAGTACACAGGAGTGAACCGCTTCAGCTGCTTAGTGCCTCTCAAAGTCTCTGACAGTTTAGTTGCTAAGCCACACAATGCACAGTTAAACTGAAAGAGTTTGCTGTGGATTATCTATGACCAATACTTTATGATTCACAAACACAGTTTTGTTCTATCTTGGCAAAAGATAAAAAAAAAAAAAAACACACACACACACACATTTTGTCTCTTGTATGTTTTTCCAGTTAAGCTCACTTCGTGTTTACATTTTTTTTAATTTAGTGGCTAAGCGGGCTAAGTTGAGCCACCCCTTTCCCTTTTATAAGAAAACCTAATTCCAGTTAATATAAGATGAAAGACAAGACTTGTTATGGCATGTCTGTTGTTTCCTGTCAGCTATCAATTTATGTCTGTTTTGTTTTTGTCTTTGTGTATTGGTGACTAAACTATAGTTTCCCTTCCAGGAATTAGACAAATAATGTTGCTGAATCCAATCTCTACACCATAGTGTTTATTTTAGGGTCTATTAGTAATGTTTAGTAATAATGTAACTAGAAAGGGGTTTAAATTTCTATTTGTTTTTTAATACTTCTTGTGGTAGACTTTAGTCACAGAAGTAGATGTTTTACTGTGAACCCACTCTGTTGATGGTTGTATAGTTTGTGGTTTATGGTGGGTCTCTGGCATGACAACAGTATCACGTGACTACCTGAAGGTGTCAGATCCCGCCACTAGAGGGCAAGCTCTACTTGCAGATTCCCCTCAGCAGAGCGAAGCACCATTTCCTGCTTTTCTGAAGGTAGCCTACAGGATTCAGCTTTCCATCAATCATCACAGGCAAGTAATTCAGTGATGAGGGAATTTATTACTTGCCATTGCTCTTTTATATCACACACTAAAATGTAAGTCTTTAAACTGTGTTTAATTGCCACATATTTCTTTTAATCATTTTCCTTTCTGTCATCCAGGCACCATTATTCTGTGGGTGTGTTTGGAATGAACAGCCCCATCATCAGGTTTAACAACTTGCCTATAAGTATATTCACACATTGTTATGCCACATTCATACATATACACAGGGATACTCATTCACACACCCATACACACACACACACACACACACAACCCCCCCTTCCAGTGGTCCATTACCCTCCCTGACTCCCCATTCTCTCTCCCAGTCTGGGCAGGCTGCCAGCACAAGCCTCCCTCCCTTTCTCTCTCTCTCTCCCTCTCCCTCTTTTGCTCTGGATCTCTCTCTCTGTCTATTCTGTACATATCAAGCCAAGCCTCACAATGCTGCGCTTACTAAACCAAGTGGCTTAGAAATGTGAAGTGATGTCGCTGTTCCCAGACCCCCCTCACTGTGGTGGACTCGCTCTGTGAGGCAGTGCAGCACTCAGACAGCTCTGATGGCAGAGTGGAGCAGGTGGACTGTGCAAGCGGAGAAACCAACATCACCTGTTTGGGAAATCTAGAGCAACAAAGGACAAAAAAAAGAAGGAGGAGCAGAGTCATTGGAAAGCTGAGGTCTCGCTGTATCTACCCACCCCTGCTCTCTCTCTCATATGCACACACACAGACACACTGTCCCCTTGCCTCTCCCTTCTTCCCTCCCTGTTTGTCTCCTCCACTCTCCGATGCTGGTGTGGTGAACAGCAGGACACTCTGCTAAGCTGCATGGAGGCACAGGGAGGGGCAGGGAGCCCAGGTAAGAGCCATTTTCTATTCTTTCTTTTATATGTGCCACAGCCTTTGTCACATTACACAAGCATGGCATGTTTGGTGCACAGTGTCTTTGTCTTTTGAATGACTTGTACTGTGAATTGCCTGCCTGCTGGAAATATCTTTCTTTAAATGTTCATAATGCTTGAAATATGGGAGACACATTTTTGAGTGGGTGGACCATAACCTCCATAATGTTTGTCATCTGAGCTCCTCTTCAATCATGTCACTGCATTTTACTTTATGTTTAGTCAAGAGTTACTGATGTACATTAGGTTTAAATATAGCAGTGCACAGGTACTCTGTCTTTGATCATTTTCCCCATCTAAGATCCAGTTGTGGAGCATGCTTTTCTGCATTCAAGCTTTATGTTTAATTTATTGCTTTGCAGTACAGGTCATTTTCATCAACCACACAAGAGCTGGACTGATAAAATACAAATTGCAGTACAACAGTGGATGCATATGGCCTTTGTGTAAAGGCCATCCAGAGAAGCCTGTACTATGAATTGCACAATGCCTTGGTGCCACTATTGTACTGACCATCTAAACATTCAATGGGTTGATAATTTAACTGTTTAGGTACAGTGTAGGCTAAGTATTATCAACTATCTAAGTCTTAAATGACATGCCCATGTAGGGCAGATAATAACATTCACTTTGATAAATAAAAAGATATGCCTCTTACAATGTAAAAGTGAGGCAAAGTAGAAGGGTAGTTTATTTGTCACTACATTAGTTGCCTCTGAATCCATAGTGTGCAACCAACAACTTAAAATGTTGCTTTATTACTCTATTGTACCTTGGGGTAAAACAATGTCACTGAAACCACTACAAGTTATAATTTCAACAGATACTCAAAGTACATTTTTTGTTTACTTATTGTTTACATACAGTATCTGATCCTGTGGGCCAGAATGACCTGCCCATGACAAATTGGGATATTACTTGTCCATTAAGCTTAGATTGAATTAGAAGGAACATTATTATGATGTATCACAGAACAGGGTCACAAGGTCTGACTTCTGGTTGGCAATATTTGTATTGTGGTAGACACAACTGTTCAGAACCAACAGCCATTCTGAAATAAGAGATTAGCAGTAAAGATAAAACATTTCCAGCTGTGAGGGATTAGTTAATGCTAATAGAGAATGCACCAAAAACACAACAAACTGTCATGATAAAGGATACAAGACAGAGAGAAAACAGCAAGCATGATGACCTGGCGAAAAGGGTGTTGATAGAGCATGTTAATTCCTCCTGCCTGAGCTACACAGTCAAACGCTGATTGATTTATTGAACTGAGACACTGAGTTTGATTCCACTTTTGGCAAATGTACAGTACCTCATTCTCAACCCCCACCGCCCCCCACCCCAACCACCCTCTTTCTCTCTCTCTCTCTCTCTCTCTCTGTCAACATCTCTGACCATCTTAGCTGATTCACAGACAGCCACGGCTGACAGCTCAAGACAGGGTCTGTAAAGGGCACATGTGTGATAGCCGACTGTACTTTACCAGCAGTAACCTATATTCTAATTATTTACTCGAGCTTCTTCACAGTCATCTCAGCAGGTGGTGGCTACATCAGACCATCTGCGTAAACTTGTCCTCATTTCCTTGCATCCTTGAGAGATTTATTTCATCCCAAGTCTAATATCATGAGCATGTATTGGAAGATACTGTATGTGTATCTATTGTCACTAAAACAATGTGACATAAAGTAAATGGATGGATGGATGGATGGATGGATGGATGGATGGATGGATGGATGGATGGATGGATGGTAAAAAGGTCAGGAACAATAATTCAGCAGGATCTCTTCAATGAGTGTTTGCTGAGGAAGCTTATGGAAAGGGAAATCAAAGCTTCTGGTAGACAGTCTAAATATTGAACAAACATTTCATTATAGCAACAGAGGTAAAGGTATAGTGTGACTCCTCTCTAGAGAAATCAATCAATATCCAGCAATGAGCTTCTCAGGGTGAAATCAGAATCCATCATTTTCAGGCTTGGCCTGGGCTTTAACACATTTTTCATCTGAAATGAGAAATTGAACTTTCTAGGAACATATTGCAAGTAGAAACAGTACCAGCCATCTGGTAAGGCTCCTTGGGAAGCCATGGTGTACTCCCACACTACTCTCCATTGACTCTGCATGCTGTCATAAAACAGTCATATTGCTGTCATTTTTGTTGAATGTTGCTTTTTCTGGTATTTTTTCTTTGTAAATGTCAATATTTTTCATGCAACATGCTTGGTCTGTAGCTATAGAATAGTCTGTCATCATATCACTCAAATTCATGCAGTTTGGAAATTCTAGGTTGCAACTGTAATTCTGATTTTGAGGATTTTTTCAATTAAATACAGTACTTCTGTATTACCATTCTTACCTCACTCAGCCTCCACTGTGTGTGTGTGTTTTTTTTAGCTGTGTGAAAAAGGCGAATATTTAACCTTGATCAGGTTTAACCAACTTGGAGTTTGTGCATACTCCTGCATTTGAAGGGATATTTTAAGTACCTTCTATTTTCAGACTTTGGTAATGGCCTGTGTGAACATGGTTTTCTATTTTGAATGGATGTTTGAGATGCTTTGTCAGCTGACTGGGGGGGAAGAGCACGACCTGGCTCTCCGAATACATTTTCTTTACAGAAACATTAAAGAGTGACAACTGTTGAATTAGAGGTCTGTCCACAGCCATGTAAACCAATGTCCTGTAAAGGAATCAAATTTTTAACACCATCTGTACATGTGCACAACAGAAATTGATACAGAATTGACAGAAGGCAGAGTGTGTATGAATGTTGTGAAATGTATGAAAGGAAGAAAGGACAAACAGATAGTAAAATGGAGATGTTCAAGTGTTATGGACAGTTGGGGATTAATGTCAGGTTTTGATTTGGTAATTTAGTAGGAAAACATAACATACAAGGAAGATAATCACCGAACATGACTGACAGACGCTGGAGCGAACATTGACTTCTTTCACTATTTGGGATCTCTAAGTAATTTGTTCCTCTTCATTTCCCCAATATGGGATATACAGATAAGCCAGTAGAGCAAATAAGCCAGCATCTCTAATGTAATGTTCTATTAAAAAATTCTAAAAACCTCTTTCTGTGTTTTCGTGTGCTCATAGAGCCCAATAAAGACATCCAGAAGCTGCTGAAGCCCTCCAGCTCAGGCGACCTATCCAAGGAGTTGTTCCAGCACACAGCAGGGGAGGAGGAGGGCAGCCTGTCAGGGCACACCGCTAGCCTGCTGCACATCACTGAGAAGAGACGTGAGTACCAGGGAAAGGGGTAAAGAGAGGGAGAGGGATATTAACAGTGATGAATATTCATTGAGAGGTGTTGCAGGCTAATTATAGGTAGAAATGCCTTGAGCAAGATCCCTGATCAATAGTAAGAATATTCAATATAGAAGGAGATAAGGAAGGAAGGCAGAGGATATCCTGCTCCTGTTAAAGAGTGTTATCAGTGACAGTCACCACTGGATCGATTTACAGTAAAATGTATTAAGACATAATGAATGGACGGTGGGGTCCAGGTTGATCTTCTCTGATCTTGAAACCCACTGAATGATCGCTGCCTATTTTAGGTATTCTGGTCCCACATTCTCAAAGACCGCTGCGGCTTAGCCTTGGTTGAAAGGACTCATTGTGCATCAGTCCCATACAGAGGCTTCCCTGTACGTGCCAGACTCAGAGACCAGGGCACAGAAACGCAGAGACGGATACTGGGGCTACATGGGTGACAAGGCAGCCTTTATCTGCTTCACTAACTAAACACTTTTTCAGGGAGACAGCTCATCCAGAGGCTAATGTCTGTGTCTCTGTGATTTAATGTGACCCAGTAACTAGCCATGCCACCTGCCAGGTCGGCTAGTAGTATGTGGCAAGAGAGGGAGAGAAAGACAAGCCAAGACAGACATGAAAAAAGAGCATTGCTTTGGTTCGAATATTTGCAAAATTCTGTTAAAAATCCATCCTGAAAAAACATGAAACAAAAGTATCAGCCCTCTTCCTCATTCAGTGTCATCGCAGTACCATCAAGGGATTAGGAATCAAATTCAACATTTTACCCACTTTATTTTATGGAGATGTACATTAAGATTTTGTCCACAGTGCCACAGACCCACATTGCAGCTTCATCCTAAATGGCACAGAAACAAATTCATTCCTGGTGCTGCAGTTTTAAATTCAGAAGGGGGACCAGTGTTGCTCCTGAGTCATGTGCAACATTTATTTTTAGGCCCAGAGCAAACAAGCCACCTTAAAAAGATACACATCTTGATATCCCAGAAATGAGTAACTTGTCACTTGGTTTGTGGCAGCTGAATCACTGAAAAACAACAGTGCTTGTACCAGTAGATGCACAAATAAATACAAACCCAAATAAAACTGCAGAGTAGAGAAATTGCATTTTGGCATTTTGACTGGGTGCATGTTCAGAAATTGGAGATAGAAAATTTCTGGTTACTGCTGTGGAGTAGTCAGAGAACGAGCAACTGTTTATCTGTTTAAATTCATCTTTAATAGCAGAAACTGGGAGATGAGTTAAAACTTGGTACAGCTTGTTTTCATTTTGAAGGAAATAAGCTGTACCAAGTTTTAACTCATCGTAGTGCAATTTTCCAGTAAACTACGCTTAATTCAAATAAATAAAGCATGATGTGCTGAAGATATTTTAATTTTGATGGGCTGGCATTGAAGCACTCATTGGTCTGTACCTTTCTGTATGTACATTCTCAAAGTTAGAAACCTGTCAGGTGTTTGGAACCCGTTACAATATGTATGTCAAATGGTATATGGAGAGACGCCTGTATGCTCTGTCACTGTGAGTGAAATAAATAAAAAAACAACACATACAACATAATATATTGTTTAGAGAACTTTTATTTTGGCATTGCATTTACAATATTCAATCTCAGTAGTTTAGCCACGTCACAATTGTCTTCGCTCCACCAGAGCTCAGCCATCATTACAAGCGGTTCAGACTGGATTGATGACCTCAGAGCCCTGATGGGCCAGAAGAGAGGGAAAGGGATTACACACATCTAACATGCAAGGCACATCTCCTTCTGCTCTCTTATCCCTTCTCCCAAATGTGAACTCCTCCCTTCTACCCATCCTCCCTGTTCTTTGTTCCTCCAGTTAAATCCATCTGTACCTTTCTACATGCAGAGAGAGGAAAGGGGGAAAAAAGGAAAAAAGGGGCTGTAAATAAAATACATTTTTATGGGACATCAAATTGAGAGCATACAAACAAATATTTTTATTGATATATGAAAGGAAACATTACTTTTCAGTGAATTGAAATTACTACTACAACTACAAAGGCATGAATATTAAGTGTGGGATTAAGATAACAAGATATGTCAAGAAGGATTCTTAATAGATCAGAACACACAAATTTGACTTTATGGGCCACCAGGTTGTATGCTTGCTGTAAGGAGAGGTTGTGGTTTTTTACATCATTCATCCGCTTTAGACACAAAGGCCTCTTCTTTTCTCTCTTTTTTTTTGTCACAGCGTGAGTTCTCCCTTGTCGGTCTTCCCCATTTGGTGTCTCAGAGCTCCCCTGATTGGCTATTGAGATGGAGGCAGTTGTTTCAGCATGTCTGCCTGGGAGAGAAAACGTACTGATCAATTATTCAAGGAAAAAGGGTGTGGGAGAGGAAAAAAGAGATGGGGGGGAGAGGTGGTTAAAAAACAAGCGCAGCAGAATGGGAATAACCTTGCAACCAATCCAAAATAAATGGCAGAAAATGATGCAGGGAATGTTTTCTTTTACAAAATGCCTCCCTTCCTCTTCATCTACTTTCTCTTTCTTCCCTTCCTGTCTTGTTGTTTTATATCTACCTCCTTACCTAGCTTCATCTCTCCCTCTTCTCCCATCATCCTGCCTCTCTCTCTTGTCTCTTCATCTCCTCCTCCACAATTTCCAGCCTCCCTGTTTCACTGCCTTCTTCACTCTTCCTGAAAAACGGGTCAAAAAGACTGATAGCTGGAAGCAAGTGCCTTGCAGTGTGGGGAAAGTAAAAATATATTCACAGAAACACTCAAGAAGCAATCTGAAATAATAAAAATATTAAATAAATAAAAACAGGTGGTATATGATTCTTGTCAACCATATTGTATACTGCAGTGTTTCTCCATTGAATATAAATCCACTATTAGACATCAAACATAGAAAAATGGCTAAAGCTTTGGATGAAAAATATTTGTATATGTTGACTGCTGTTTAATTATATGTGGCTGTGTGTTGAGTGGTGTAAGGATGGAAACTTGCTAGCTTTACCTTAATGGGGTGTCATATAGTTCCCAAGCCTTCACATGGCTAATATATTCAGTGATTTTTAACCAGTCAGGTAATGTCATTTTCTAAGGGAGATATTTTCTTAGTCCAATATGCAACTTGGATGCCTGAAGTGTATCCGGATGGCAGAACAAGCTTTTAATAATTCTATATTTAAGTGGTAACTGGTGGTGAGATGCTAAAATTGGAGGCAGTTAAATATCTGTTCAACTGCTGGATAATAGATGCATGAGGAAAACTGTGACTGAGACAGGGATAGATAAGTCAAAACCTTATGTGATCTAAACATGATCATTTAAAAACAAGGACAATCACTTTAAAAAAAAAAAAAACAGTTTTTTTTTTTTTTCTCAGAGCTTTACGTTGCAAAATAGATGATATCTTTAAACAAGGTTAGGTGTTGACATCAATCAGTCATTGTCTGCAAGGCAGGTCTTTAATATCAGGATAGAAGTGGACATGCTTGTTTTCCAATGATATTTCCAATTTGGAAAAAATAGATGAGGACTAGAATGAAGCCCCGAGGGAACTCACAGGTGATTACAGCAAAGGAAGAAGAGAAATCATGTTTGAAGGGAATATGTTTTATCAAGAGGTACAATTATTGTTACTTAGTTTGTCTTAAATGTTTAAAGTAAAACTATTACAATGGCAATAGGCCTATCACTTCCATTCTTTTCGTTCTTGCGTCTTTCTCTAATCCTAGTCTTCCCTCATCTTTATTGTCATTCTCTGCTCCTATTTCTCTCCTTTTGTACACAATTACAATTTTCTAATATTAATTCCTCTGGCGCATTTACATGCTGGCCACAAGCTCACTGGCTTTGTAAATATCCATACATGTCATGTGTGTCTACCTGGGTCATTGCCAGAATCTGACACAATTTTCATTCCACATGTCTCCTGGCATTTCTGCTGTTAAGTATTTTTAGTATATTTGAAACATGGCACAATGACCAGCCACCGCTTCAGCATGATAATCAGCCTTCTTTAAATCAATATGTGCTCTATCAAGAGGACAATGCGGAGAATTAAATGTAGCAGCAGACAAAGAGCAGACCAGCAGGAGAGTGGGCTCCGCTTCTTCAGCCTGAAGTGTTGCCCTAAACAGCCTTGAAAACAGCGGGCAAATGAGACGGGATAATAACAGCTTTCAACCTGTCGAACAACCTATCGTTTTCTTCACAAAGTAACGCCCACAAACAACCAGTGAAGTGTTTCATTCAGACCTGACGTTGCATGGCAGACAGGAATCCACTGATTCATTAGGAAATACAAACACATCTCCATCTGTCTCAGCGAAGTCTCCAATCATTCCTCTCACTATAATCGTAGATTAGTTCAGCTCTATTACACATAATTTGTTCCTAACTTGGGTGATGTTGGGACAAGCAGATGTTCTTGGACCCTTGCAAGAATCTTTGAATAAATTTTACTTCACATACAGTACTTGACATTAAAATTCAGCTTTGGTGGCAGCCTGACTTTCAACACAAAAAAAAGAGAAGGTCACAATGCTTTAAAGAACTACTTGTTTTCATCTCTGCTGACTTTTCCTCGTTTTTCAATTCTTCAGTCAATGCCTTTGTTAACTCTCTGACTACAGAGGCAGGTCCAAGAAATCCACCGTTACTGAAATAATTCTGAAGAAGAAAACATTCAGCTTTACATGAGATGTGCAGATAAAAGTGGATAACAGAGTGAAAATGATCTTTGTTGAAATCGATTTTACAATAGTACCACAAGAGCACGATATTGATCTGATTATGAGCACGGTGGAGAGTCAAGAGCAGCATTACATGATGGTTTGAGGAGCTCTGTGTTCATAATAAATGCAGTTTATCTCTCACTTCTTTTAAAGAGCCACTTTTCTTCTGCACTGTCAGCAAGAATGAGTGGATAATATTAATCTCCCAACTAACCTCCACACTGAAAGCAAGGTGTTTTCTCTCTCTGCCTCATAGAACCATTGAGTAGTGTATCTTCTTTAGAGGTGCACTTTGACCTCCTGGATCTGACTGAGCTGACTGACATGTCTGACCAGGAACTGGCTGAAGTCTTTGCTGACTCTGATGAGGAAAACCACAACGAGTTCCCAGCAGGTAAGGCCCTCTGAAAATTGAAATGCATATGTATTTAAACAAGTATAACAAGTAGTTTGTGCAGAAATCAGTGCATGCTATGTAGATTCCTCACAGCACATTCCCACTGAATTTTGACTATTACAATAAGTTCAAGTCACAAAGATATAAACGTTATGCATATACATGCTGTTTGCGACAGACTAATGCATTAACATTTTAAGTGTGTTCTTAAGGTGTGCAGACAGATCTGCTGACACATGGCCCATGTACAGAATTTGGTTTATGCAAGTGCCAACAAAAATTATTTAAAAAAGTGCATGCGTGCGTGCGTGCGTGCGTGCGTGCGTGCGTGTGTGTGTAAGAGAAGGACTTTCATATCATTATGGCACAGCAGGGTCCTGAAAGGCCTGCTGAGCTATAATGATTTGAAATGTCACAACACCTCTTCACAGTATCATGGATGAAGTGCCTTTAAACTGAAAAGGGAAGTTTAACTGTGTTTTTAAATTGTCTTTTATGATTCTTATGACAAACACTAATTATATAAACTAATAACATTTAGAATCACATTTCCTTCTGGAAAACAGGAGTGAAAGGAAACATTGTTGTCTTGCATCACACAAGTCCCTTATTAGTCAATTAGTCACATTAATCAATTACACTATATGGGCCTCATGCACATATGCATTGCACTGTCACAGCAGCAGTTACAGAATAAAAGGCTAGCACGTCTTTCTCTCCAGTTGCAAAAGTAAGCACAAAATCTTGCCCATGTTTTATTTATGACCTGTGAGCCTCATCCTGCATGCGGACGGTGAACTCTCTCCTCCACAGACTCTCCTGCCTCTCAGCATGCACACAGGATTTCATGGCAGCTCAAGATTTAAAGGTCTACTGACACAGTTTAGACAATGTCTTATAAATATTGTATGTTTTGTGCATGGATTGATAAAAAAATAAATAAATAACCAACTTTCATACTTTGTTTGGCCGGAATACATAATAGGTTCAAAACAGATAGTCATCATCATCATGTGTATGCAGAAATTGTAACATGTCAGACTCCACCGAAACACACGTTTTGTGTGGCCAGACAGACTTCTCACTCACTGTTGAGAGGCAATCATCCTAAAACTTAAAGAATATAGGCTTTTCTTCACATTAATTATACACGCTGCTTTCACTCAGATTTCCTCTTACATTTCTTAATATAGCATCTCCTCCTTCTTCAGCAACATCTTTTTCCCCCTCCCTTCTCTTTTCTGTGTATTACTAATGTTCCTTATCATGGCACAGCTTGTTGAGCTATGGTCTCAGTGGGCCATCTGTACTGCATGCTGCTGTCTTCAGCTCCACAGCCGATTAAATTAAACATGTTATACAGCATTTGGCTCAGAGGCACATCATATGTCCAAGAAAGAACAAATTTCTTTGTTTCTTCATAAAACTTTGTGCATTCTTGAGTCTAGAGTAGTCAGGTAAAAGGCTTTACTAAAACTTAAAGCAGACTTCCTGTTTATTATATACACGGAGAGGATTCTCACTGCTGTTAGTGCCAAGATAACTGTCGTGCAAGACAAACCTGTGGTTGCCCAGATGATCACTTTACATTATCATACACATTATGGATTTATTTTACCAGCTGAGATGGATCATAGCAACAGATTTATTTAAACTGGATGGAAAACAATTAACAGTGTAACTTGGCTGCACTGTCGTCTGTTAACGTTTTTTTTGTTTTTCTCAGTCCCTCGAGGGGAAATTGATTTACAGTAGAAGGTACACACAACATACAAGAGGACATTGAATATTAATCACCGTAGTTACAGCAAATAACCAAATAAAAAAGATGTGTCTGTTCGTTAAAGCCATGGTAAAGTGCTGCTGAGCAGTACAGTCCAGGTTTACTGCAAATTAAGCACATTTATTGTACTTCGAACAAAGGAATATTTAAGCCTATTGCTTTTAACCCTGGGGGACCTGTATCTCCGCCCAGAGGGAATGCAAGACGCTCGACCACTACTGTTTGTCACTACTCATGTAGAGCCATGAGCATCGGTTTCTAATTTAGATTCAGATTTTAATGTCTTCAATGAAACACTTGCAGGTGAGTTGCTAATCGTGTTGCTGCTAAAGAATAATGAAATCAATCACTTCTCATCAGTTTTGATGTTAAATATATAAAACGGTTTTGCTCCTTCAAAAAGTGAAATCAATTATTTACAACATTGTTTTATTTATGAATTGATGACCCCAGTCAAAATGGGGTGACGCAATTAATGGAACAGTAATACGATTCAAGTCTTTTCAGAATCGATGCATATTTAAAAATCACATTCTGCTACGATTTGATTCTGTTCGATTCAGTTTGATCAGTGATGACAGAGTCCCAAATGCAAATGTGTCAACGTTCTGTTTCATTCAACAGTTATTAAACACATGCACACCAAAGCACTACCTCAAAGAATCTGACTTCAAACAACAACAGGTTAGTAAATGATATCAGTTTATCACATGCAATATACTGTATATTTACCTCCCTATACATTGAAACCATGTTTTCACAGTCGAGCAGACAAAACAGTTTTAGCGCACGCACACACACACACACACACACACACACATACAGGTGCAGGAGATTCAACAGCAAAGACCATTTCTGTCTAATCAAGCTGAAGCCCTGCCATCAGCAGCTCTTCACCACTAATATGATTTTAAATGGTTTAATTTACATCGCCTCATATCTTTAAGAAAAATGAAAAAACTCAACTTGCACCCTCAGAATGACATATTTAATTGTTAATTAATGCGGATGACAATTTCACAGTGAACAGTGTGTAATTCACTCTTCTATTTTTACCTGCACAGATCATGAATAAAAATAGATCAGTCATCTGAGAATGTGGCAAACATTTCTTCCTGCTCAGAGTCTTTAACCTTTTGACATGAGATGTTGCATTTTATGCTGTGAATTTCTTCAACTTGCTTTCCGAAAATCTCTCACGTCTTGAGCGGTTTATATCTCAGACACAATCCTCCTCACTGCATGCTCTGCCTCTTTGCTTCCCTTTATCCTTCATTCCCAGTCTCTCTCTCCATGTTTGCCTCAGATATGGCTTTCACAGAGGAAGGATAATGATCCCAGATAGATGCAGTCACCAAGATGGATGCCGACGACTGTGAGAGTCTGTAGACAGATACTGCAGAACAACTGCAAAGTTTTTTTGCATCATGTGATCATGAAAGTCATACAGTACATCAGTTTCCACATAATGTCTTTTAGTATTAATGAATAATCTGCATTAAGGCCATGGAGGAAGAAAATACTGATGTTGCTCAAAAATATTAAAACTACAGTAAATGTCATCAGCTAATGATATAACACTACAGCTCACGGTATTTATTCTTTTTTTATTTAACCTTTATTTAACCTTAGTCTCTCGACTGTTTTGTAGCAATTGCACGCAGTTTTGGGCCTGTATTTGGATGAAACTGGTGTAGTGTGCAGACTGACTGTGTGTGTGTGTGTGTGTGTGTGTGTGTGTGTGTGTGTGTGTGTGTGTGTGTGTGTGTGTGTCGTGTTAGTGAAAAGGATTTATCCAAACCTTATTGCACAAATCTCAGCTGTGAGAACCAGCTGTTCTTTTTCATCTGGATTCCCTAAAACCTCCTTCATTATTCAGCCCTGTAACTTCATGCAAGGCCTTTTTTTTTCTTGAACAACCCTGCTATGACTATAATAGTGAAATATTACAGACTGAATTGTGACAAAGGCAGTTTAATGAAACATTAATTGTTCATAACGTCATCAGTGAGTCTAGGGTGCGGGAGAACGAGAGGGACTTTGATTGAACTAATTTGTGTCAGTTTGCATTGTAAATGTGGGTCAGGTAGTACTGAGGTGTGCTGTGTGAGCATTAGGCTCTATGGGAAACTGCTGAGTGTGTAGCAATGTGTGGAGGGCATGTAGGAGTGAGGGAGAGGTTAAAGGAAGTACAGAGAGGAGGGGAGGAGAGGGGAGAGGATCATGAGTTGGGTAAGTGAGTTCATGCTAAATGTAGGTTCCTGAATAATTCAGTTGTCTCTGCTAGAAACAAGGTCCTTCAAAAGCCATTTAAACACTTATCATAATCCTAGTAACTACACTAGCGCATTATTTATAGATACTTGTGTCTTGTTTGTTTTTGTTTACCCTGCTGTCTTTCTTTTCCGTTTTCCCTTTGCCTGTTCCCATGTTCCTCTCTTTCTCTTTCAGCTATTGGCAGCTGACATTTTATTCTTTCATGGAAACTTCAAGCAAAATTAGTGAACATGATCAATTGCACTTCATGACTAGAATCCAGAAAGCTGGATAACATGGAGTAATTAGTGTTTTATCAGGCGTGTCTTTCTAGAGCAGCTCCAGAGACACTGAACAAAAGCCTGACTTTGTCCAGTTGGTTTGCTCTTTGTTTTAAAGCTCAAATGAGCTTAATGAACCATAAAGTTTACACGCATCCCTGACAAACTACCACAGGCATGGCTTTTGCCTCCTATTCTTTGTCATTGGAGCAGTAACACGGTTTGAACTGATGACACTGCAAACTATAACCTATTATGTTTCTGTTTGCTGGACCTTTTCATGATCAAGTACTCTGAGCTGTGTATTAGACTGGTTATTTGTTTTAAGGATTTGGTTAAGGATTTCTTTAGTAGACACGTGACAGGGTGAAGTGATACACAAAACAGCGAACAATGAGGTTTGGAGACAAAAGGTGAAAAAAGAAACTGTTTACACCACAGCATATCCATATCACTCTCATGCGATCGTTGCAGTAGACAAATGTGAAACATCTAGTTTGGTGTTAGCAGTGGAGCAGAGAGAGAGAGAGAGAGAGAATGTTCTCCTGGAAATACAACCCGATATCATAGCGAAAAACTCCGACATTAGATTGACACTGGCAACAGTACAACGGCCTAATCAGTGATGTCAAAGCAGGTGTTTCCAATCTCCTAACACCTGCAGTGATGTCACTGCTTTAGACGTGGACAGAGGTGAAACATGCTTGAAGTTTTAGCCCACAGAGAGGCTGTTTAGCAGCAGCTTTCTGTCTTTGTTGTAATGCATCTTGTAGGAGCACATTTTATAGCCCTTCTGTAAAAGTTCCTTTAAATGTAAAAGGTCAGGTTCCACCTCAACTTGCTGATCTTTGGGGCCGCTCCAGGCTTTTAAAGATCATTATCTTTGAAATATATTTGCCCCAATTCACCAACACTGATTGGCTTGTGCTAGGATTAGCATGTGAAAGGAGTGTTGTTTAGCTTAAATGAGTTAAAAGAGAGGGGCATTGTTGGTTTGTATTGTTTGTTGTATGTACATGTGCACATATAAAGACAAAGTTGGTGTTCTACAACAGTTGCTTTGCTTGTTCTTTCACAGGTTTTCTGTAGGAGAGCCTAGTGTTTCAGTTATGCAGCAACATGCTGACTGAAGAATCTCAATGGCTGCAAGCCAGTAGCACAGAAGGAAAACAGCACAGTACCCCATAGCTTAGGGTATTCTGTGAATGTGACAGCAAGAGAGACAAACAGGAGGAGAAAGAAGAAAGGGAAAATCTATTTATGTTGTGAGAAGGCATGTAATTACTTTGCCTCTTAGGTGTGCAAGCATTTCTTACTGTGTGTGTGTGTGTTTCAGTTACTTTGCTGAATTCATGTTCATCAGTTTTTTGATTAGATGTCAGAGCAGAAACAGGTCATCAGCAATCTGAGCAATACAAGCAATGAATGTAAAAAAGATGGACGTGCATTACACAGACACATTTCAAGTATATAAATTACATAAACACAACCAGCAGTCATCAGCAGGTGTCCGTGACACTCGTTGCAGCAGACTCCTTCATGCTACTGAGGAGGTTGTTGTCCTGCTTATTAAAATCCAGTGGAGACGCCATCAATCTTCTAAGATCAATATGTCTTTTCTCCCCTCCCCTTTCTCTCTCTTTGTCTCTCAGTTTCAAATATGTGTGAGGATATGGGTGTGGCTTTCGGGGAGATATATAAGCCAGATATTGAGTATAACATTCACTTAGGAGACCTAACATTATACTGATATGGGCAGTGAAAGACAGAGTGAGTTGTCAGCTCTCTTATCAGTCATTTTTTCTGCTGCCTCGATGTCCTCCTGCTAGGTCAGACATCACCACCAAGTGGTGTGAAGCGGCACTGGCCACAAAACTGGAAAAGAAATTTATTTTTATGGCTAATATTAAAAGTACAACAAAATAAATAGTTGTTATAAGATGGTCAAGTTGTTGTGAGGAGCAGCAAAGAGATTATATATGGTATTTATATACTTACTGGTTTATACACAGAAAAAGAAGAATTATGTGAGAGGAATACTCTTGTGTAACATTTTAGATGAATCAAATGATATAAAAAGTCTCTTTTCCCCATCGTAGCAGGTCATTGTCTCACTTTCATATTCTATAACAACAGTCTGTGGCCTGTCTAGAAATGGCTGGTATGTGTGTGTGCAGGCATGCTACATAAACTAAAGGCTTTAAATGGCTGGGAGAAAAAGCAGGCAGCAACTGTATCAAGGCCTCTGTTGCATTTTAACAGCTGAGCTCTGGGGACTTTAGCAGGAGTGGACCTGTGTATACAGACACCAGTAAACATTAAGACAATTTTATTTTTTTCAAGCTCAAGCAGTGTGAAATATGACAGGTGTCCAGTGTGAGTTCTGTTTGTTTATATATTAAATTAAAACACTGCATCTGTATTTATGTCTGCCAAGACTTTGGATTCGTGTTAGTAACAAGTTGCTGTGCATTTGGTTTCCAGCTTCCCAGCAGCCTGTGCTGCCCAGAGGTGGGTACATGCGCTCCCCCTCATGGACACGCTGCAGCAAAGTCGAATCCCCACGAGAGAGAAAACACCACAGCGACTCAGACACCGCAGAGCCCTTAATGAAGCTGGAAAGGCCGAAGCAGCCGTGATGTCTGATGTGAAACCGCCGGACCGCAGAGAGAGAAATCCCAGAGCCAGACAGACACAGCCAGAATGGGAACACAAAGCGGACCAAGAGGCCCCCCCATCTACCACCGTCCACTCACATAATGTTTCATGGTGCTGAATAGATGAGTTCAAATTGAACTCTGGACACTGTGCTCTGTACTCTAACTAAAGATGTTGAGATGTGCAATACACACTCTCCTTCTCTCTCCCTTCCCTCTCTTTCTTTCTCTCTCACACACACAAACACACACAGTCATTGTGTTGTTCATGCAAGGGGTTATCAATGCACTCTGGGCTGCCAGAAGATTTTCAGTTTTGTTTTCAATGATAAGACAGGGTAGGAGGTCAGCAGAGTAACAGGACCTCCATCCTTACAGTCTCTCAGGGTGGGAGATAGTTGCTGGACATTGAGATTGGCACTAAAAGTTGTGTCCACAGCGTGAGGCAAGACCTTCCATGTGAAGTTCAGACTCTGGGATTCACATTGAACTACCGGGACATGAGCCGAAACATTAATCGATAACGTTTTTTCAAATAAAATATCACACCCAGGCTGTTACTTCATGTGCTGCTTGAAAATGTTGACAGGGTTTTCTGTTGCCAGTAAATAAGGTAACTTGAATAGTAGGTTTCATTGAGGCCAAGTTCTATTCATCAGACCTTCTCCATCTTAATAAAGAATGTGTGTCGTTATTTTAAATGCCTAAAAAAAAACATTGCACTTCTCTCACCTAACTGTATTTACAGTGCCCTCCAGAATTATTGGCATTTGGTGCAGATGACTAAAAAGATAAACAGACCAAGTAGCAGCTTGGACTTTTTAATACTGAAGTTACTTTTTTTTTTCAAACATTTGTTTAGATTAACTTTTTTCTATTTTCCTTTTCATTTTGAAAACGATGGCTGCCACAATCACTGCTGCTAATCTAACTGAAGTTGGTAATCCAAAGCTGGTAGTCAAATTCCATTAGGAGACATGCATGAACTAGATGGGTAATACTTGGAGCACTTAGAAATGAAGGTAGGGTTGCACCATAGCCAGGAGAATTTGCATGAATGCCAAAAATACAACAAAGTGCCAACAATTTTGTAATCATCTTTTATAAGATGAATTTAACTTATGATGCAATATTTCTCATCTTTCTAAGCAAAGGGAACAGCTGATTTCTTGATTTATTTATCTCATGTTAAGCTTGTCTATACCAGGAGTGCCAATAATTCTGAATGCTGTGACACGATGGATCAAAAGTGACACTGGGAAGGTAGAGGAATAAATAAAAGCCTTGAAAAAGTTTGTTTGTGTGGTTTATCAAGTTACAACAGTGTGGAGGAGTCAAATTCTATAATGTGTGGCATACACAGTGCACACCTTATTACATTACAGTATTTATTTACTACAATTATAGTCTCCTTTATATGAAATATCAATGGTGCACTATCAGTGATGTGGCACAGTTGAATGGGACAAGCTGCAAAAACTATATTGGATTCATAACAGAGTGGCAGTGGGTTTACAATTGATCTTGTGTTTCCTGTAGATACCAAACCAAGCTTGTGCTAAAGAGTGTGCGTTATTACAGAAGAACTGGTTTATAAGCAGGTTTTGTTCAATTTTTTCTCATGCAATTATATCTATAATCACAAATTCTTTTACATTGAACATCTTTCATATACTAACGCCAGAATAAAATGTTGTTAAAACCTTACATCAAAAGAATCCTTACATTTTTGTGAGTAAATTATCGCTAAAAAAGCTGGTCAACACACACACTGGAGTGAAAATATTGTGAAAAAAAACAAGACAAAGCAGTGGAGTATAAAAACTGTTTAATATTGGTGTGAGCCACAACAGCCTCACATTTCATGTTTTTCATTTGTCTTCACATCTCAATGTAAAACCGATAATCCTCGCTGACATGTAAAGAGGAATATTCATCAAGCAAAAACAGTACAGTGTCAACCAGGCACAGAACACACAACATTTATCGTACACGCTGATATACAACCAGCCTGCTCATCATTTATTAGGGTTTTTTGAAAAATCTGGATGACAAAATGTCCCAGTGTCATGCTGGTTGGGGTCTGAACCATTTAATGGAAAATGTGATTCAAGCAAATCCGAGATCCAGTTTTCAAACCTGTTTACTCAACACAGGAGCAACTGGCCTAATTATTCAGAGACTATTAACATTTAGTTAACAGTGTACTACAAGCCCTTCAAGGAGTGGTTCTCAAATACAGGAAATGAGAATGCTATGTGAATAGTTATCTAGCTTAGTTTGGTTGGCTCATAATTAGGAAAACATTCAAAAATTACCCACAATTTACTGAAAGAATAGTTCCCTGAATGGGAGCAATTTGTTGTCACATTAATAAATGCTGGAGGAAGGTTATAATGTACTCAGAGGGAGAGGGCCACACGAACACATTAATGGAAAAGCCAATTAAGCTTCACTTCATTTTGAGCAATTACTCATCTGTTTTATACACACTCAATACAGTAAAGCGGTGTGAGTGAAATATGACTCTTTCTATCAATGAATAGTCCAGAGGATGTTTTAAGAGGCAGTAAAGAACACAGACTGTGAGGTAGTGCAGCAGCGCGTGAAATGTCGTTTTTAAATACTTCATTCTTCCAGTGCTAGCTTTAACTATCAGCCTTAAGTTACTGATGTCTACATCAATGCTGACTCTTATTACTATGACAGAACAACCTAAATAAAGTACATGTGATCTGAAAATATTTGTAACGTATCATATGTGCACAGATTTACAAACTGACTTCTAACAACTGCCTTTACTGATACATTAATGAGAACCAGGTTGAGGAAGGCTGAAGTCTGCAGGAAGAGTATGAGGGAATGAAAATGTATTGATGTATGTCAGCTGAGACAAAGTCCCAGAAATGTAAGAATGTCTTCATTGTACTGCGGTGTGAAGAAAGTTTAAAAACAGTTAAAAGTACAGTCATTTGAAATCTGAAAGAAAACAAGAAACCTGGTTCCCCACTCAGTGAAAACACATATTACATATTCAGCCACCAACATAACAAAGTGGTGGCTGAAACTGCATCCTCATTCTATTGGGGAATCTGTACCACAGGCTTAAGAATAAGCACCTAGTGAAACTGAAAGTGAGTAAGGTTGTATAAGGAGAACCAGCCTCAGAATAAAATGTATCTCTATATGATGCCATCATATGATGATACCAGCACAGCATGTTGTCCAAATAACACATGTAACTAATGCACCTTTCACATAAGGTCAGGTGATTCCTCTTCTTTTTTTTTTTCAATAGCTTTCCTGACCATGACTGCCAGTTGTTCTGCAGTGTGTTGGTCAGAGTTATTGCACTGTAGGACACTATGGGACTGCATCAGAGTGTGAGAGGAAGAGCGCAGAAGACACTAAAAGGCACTGTCCCAAGGTCTTTAGCTTACTGGATTTTAAATGTACTGATATTAATGATGACTTTTTGGAATTCCTGCTAAATATAAAAACTACAATAAAAACTACAATAAAAATACCACAATAAAAATTTTGCAAATGGCATAATCATGGTCGAAAAAGACCCGTGCAACACATCACCATTGCTCCTCTTGCAGCTGTCAGTGAGATGAACCAGACAGTGCTGCACTTCAATCCAAATCCAAATCCAGTGGAATATTTGTTATGAGGCAGCACGTGGACCTACAGGTAAAGGGCTGATTTGTTTTGCCGATCCTGCAAGTGTTTTTCATCACGCTTGTTCTTGTTCCAGTTCTTTAGCCCTTCAGGAAGAGAGGTGTCTTCTTCAAATTCCCCCAACCCCTCAACAAACTCTTCATATGATGACTTCTCTTGAAATGGACGGGGTCCTAGCAGCTTTACCATGTCAGCCTTGTCTAGAATCTCCTTTTCTAGAAGACATTTTGCCACCTGCAACACAAAATCAGCATTTTAATCAATAAACAGTATTAATTTAGGCTAACTCCACCGTCAAACAGCATGCGTTATTACTGAAGACTTCAAAAACAGATTTTCATTCACACTCAAAACACAAAACAGGCTGTGTAGCAGCAGTATCAGTAAAAGTTAAAACTAATAGCATTAGTAATAGCAGTATTTATATTTATTTTATTTAAAATAATGATTATAATAACCACAACTAATTGTTTAACTTAAGGTAGCTGATGTTGCCCATCTTACTCACAATTCTTCGAAAAAGTTTTTTAAAAAAAAGCTACCAGCTGCTGCATCATACTGTTCAGTGAGCTGCTTTGGTAAGATTGCACTCCTCCTCTCTACCTCTCTCCAACAGTTCTCACAGTGAAAATAGTTTTCACCTTCTCCACCATTTCCTTCTTCTCATTGACAAGCTGAAGAGTTCGCTGGAAAGCAGCATCTATGAGCAGACGGACCTCCTGGTCTATGAGCTGGGCTGTAGGTTCACTGAAGGGTTTTTCAGTAACTATGTTGCCCCGCTGAGGGAAGTCAAAGGAAACCTGACCCACTGCCTCATTCATTCCAAACTCTACGACCTAAAAATGAAGAGAAATTAGCACTGTTAAGAGACAAGTGAACTTTTATAGTCTGTAAATACTGCAAATGTCAATTACAGCAAATGGTGCTGCTTCACTTCAAACCAACCACTTGTTATGTGCCTTATTTTCTGGGTAAAATAAGATTTTGACCTACTTCTTTGACCTACTTAAGATGTTAAGTGACTTTTAACTGAGCACCTGCACAGAGAGTTGGAAGCATACCCTAAGTCTGCAAGTTGCTACTTGTTATTGAAGTTCTATTGAAATAATAATGAATTGTTCGCTGACATTGCTGCTATAGTTTTAAGAAAATCTGACCTAAAACTCAAACATTCACAGTGAAATCACTAGTTATCTTAGACTGTAGTCCTCTACATCATTATTATTATTATCCTTACTACATTATTAATCAACTTCTCTTTGAATCCAGAATCAAATACAGTACCTCTCAGCCTTCTGCCTGTATTTACAGCGAGCATAGCCATGAGCATGCTTGCTGTTAAATGTGGTGATTACCTGTGCATAGGCAGACTGTGTGACTTTCCTGAGGTCATCTTGTGCTCCAGTGGTTACTCTATGAAGGAAAACCTGCTCAGCCACTCGACCGCCCAGCATCATGCACATTCTGTCAAACAGCTGCTCCCGGGTGAACAGGTACTGTTCCTTAGGCAGATACTGGGCATAACCCAAACCTTTCCCTCTGGGAACAATGGACACCTGGAGGGAGTACATTATAATCAATCTAATAATCAGTGTAATCGTTTTGGTGAGATCCTACTTTCACTTGAAATGATAAAACCAAAGAAGGTTATGAAGTTACGCAGCAGTGCAGGAGACAACAGGAATAGGAAATGGTTTGAGTACCTTAAGTAGGGGGTCTGCATGTTCTAGGAACCAGCCAGCCACAGCATGTCCGGCCTCATGATATGCCACAGTAGTCTTCTCTGGAAGCTGCAGTACCTGAGTCTTCTTCTCCAGACCTGAGAGAAAGGAGAATGTCTTAATATACAGGCAGTAAGTTATCAGGGTTGATGTGTTCTTCAGACATACAGTAGATGTCTTTGGGTTGGTGCAAAGACTTTATCTTTGAGTAATGCATGAAATCACACTGTAAGTACAGTAGAAATGTTAAATCAAATCCTTATAGGGTAGCCTGAATGAGATACTGTATATTAGCACAATGTGAGTTAGACAGTCCGTATCTGAAATCGAAGCTGCAAGTTCAGATTTATGGAGCAATATTAAATATTAATCAATATAAACTAAGAGTATAAAGTTTAACTTCATATTATAGAAATGTATCGCAAAACTCACTGCTTCAAGACCAATGATGTCACTTCTAACTAACTTGATTATGGTGTATAACCCACACCCAAAAGGCATTATATGATTACCGTGCATGAATGTGGTTGTTTACTTACCTCCAATAACTCTTTCAATTGCCTGTTCAAAGTGATTAGTGTTGATATGCTGGTTGAGGTGACGTGCAGCAATTAGAGCAGCCTCATTACACACATTAGCAATATCAGCCCCTGTGACGCACAAGAAGACATCACAATCAAGTTAGACTGTGATGTGACAGAAAAAAAAAAAAAAATCAAAAACGGATAGAGAAGACAAACTGTATGACTATTTTAGATTTAAATAAAAACTGAGCTGTGTGTGCGTGTGCAACATAATCATAAATCTCTGGTTCTTACCAGTAAAACCTGGGGATAGTGCAGCTAGCTTTCTAGCCAAAGCCTCTACTTCTATACTGGAGTGCAACTTCAGAGGTCTTAAATGCACCTTAAAGATGGATGCCCTTCCTTTAATGTCTGGTGGGCCTGTAGAAAAAAGAAAACAAAAAACATTTGATGTTTACAAGTCTTTCCTTAAACTGACAGATCGGAATGACACAAAGGTAGGAGAGTGTGTGTGAAGGAGCATTTGAAGAACCAATTAAATCGAGTCTTGCAATGGTTGAACCTGTGGCCTGATGAGAAGAGCTTAACACAATGTATTATTCATGCAGGCTAAATCCACACATTTTTTTAATGAGTGACATTATGATGTAACAAGTTATGTAACTAATTACTGATCAAATATTAATTAGTCATGTGACCGTTTTTAAGCAACTTTATCAACACTGTTTACATGTTACCACAGAAAGACTGAGGGAAAAGTGAAACTAAACAACACAGAGAGGAACGGTGTGTCCCATCCCTCATGCTGGCCTCCAGTTATCTAATCCTTCTTTTATAGAAAGCCAGCACTCTCATTTTGACCCAGTTTTCTTTGTCAGAGAGAAAACTGCCCTGCCCACCATTGTCCAGCACTGCTGGCGCAAAGCAAATTAGATCTTAGCAGGCAGAAAAAGATCAACCATTTCAAACAAAAAGATAAAAGCTCACAGCATGCAACACAAGTGAACAGGTGCAAAAAACAGAACATAAGCAAATCTAATAGGCTTGAAGCTCATTTTTGGAAGCCATCCAGTACGAGTATGAATGTTAGTAAATATAATCCATCTGAAGCAGGCAAAAAAAATAGAATTACTGCCTCTGCCAACAAGCCAAGTTGCAGGAAATATGGTCACAATCTCCAGTTCCTGAGTTACAGCAGTGAATATTGGCCACAAGTGTTTTTGCAAAGCATTATCATGTCACAGTGAAGTTGACCTTTGACTATTTGGATATAAAATGTCATCACTTCATCATTAACATTAGACATTTATGTGAAATTGTGTCATAATTAGTGTATAGAGTCATGAATTATGGCCAAAAACGTGTTTTGAGAGGTCACATGGACCTTGGCCTTTGAGCTTTGACCATCAAATTCTAATCAGTTCATCCTTTAGTTCAAGTGAATGTTTGTGCCAAATTTGAAGAAATTCCCTCAAGGCATTAGTGAGATATGGCCTTCACGAGAATAGGACGGACAACTCGAAAACACTATGCCCTCGGCCCTGGCTGTCGCCAGTGCTGAGCTGTAAATCTGGGTCTGCATGCACATTAGTGCCACTGAATTGCACTTGTTGCATAGTGCCTGGTGGGGAAGAATAAGGGAAATAAGAATAAAACTCCAGGTCCAAAGAGGACAGACATGTCATGGCAGCTAAGTTATTATGGATCATTTCATTGGCAAATTGCAAATCAAAACCTGCAGACATTGTAACTCTTCATATTTGTAGTACGATAAGACATAATATGTGTCTAATGCAGGGTCAACATGGCAAGTGGCAATTAGTTAGAGCCATTTATCAGAACAAAGAAAGAGAACAAGAAATTAGTAGAAATACTCAGCTCAAGATGCCGACAACAGATAAATGCTATACTTTACCTATGTATATATGTCGATCAAAGCGTCCAGGCCTCATCAGAGCTGGATCCAGGATATCAGCTCGATTGGTGCCAGCCAAAACGACCACGTTGGTACTACTGTTGAATCCTGTAAAGAAAAGAGGCCTTATGAAATTTTACACCAGGAATGGCAGAAAGGTCCAAATATGGAAAGAAGTAAAACTACTGCCTACCATCCATTTCCACAAGCAACTGGTTAAGGGTGTTTTCTTGCTCGCTCTGGCTGCCAAAGTTCCCTCTGCCTCTCTTCCTGCCCACCGCATCGATCTCGTCAATGAAAAGGATGCAAGGGGCATTTTTTCGAGCCATGGCAAACATATCCCTTATCTAGTATCGTAGAGGGTAAAGAGAAATTAGAAAAATATAGTTAATATTCAAACAAAGACAGGACAGAAAAGGTAGAATGGTCTCTATGTATATATCTTTAACACTGTAAAGATATATCGGGTTTACAGATAATTTAGCCAAAAAGGAGCATAAACTGCATGTGACCCATCATTCAGTTTCCTGACTCCTTGACTAAGTCCTGCATTCAGCCCAGTACTGACCCTTGCTGGGCCCACACCAACAAACATTTCCTGGAACTCTGAGCCGCTGACGGTGATGAAGGGGACATTGGCCTCCCCTGCAGTGGCCTTAGCCAGCAAGGTCTTCCCAGTTCCAGGTGGCCCTGATAACACTGCACCCTGAGAACAAAGATGTTACAGTATGTGAAATTCAATTTTTATATACTTTAGCACAGAATGACAATAAAATATCTGTGGGGCTTGATAGTGACCTTTGGGATCTTGGCTCCAAGGTCCTGGTACTGACGTGGATTCTTCAGGAAGTTGACAAACTCCAAAATCTCCAGTTTTGCCTCTTCACAGCCTGCAACATCCTTGAAACGCACACTGATGTTGTCTTTGATTATCTTAGCTTTGGATTCACTCATGCTAAAGGGATTTGCTCGCCCCCTACCTCCACGTCCAATTGCCATTGGTCCCTGCCGCATGGCAAAAAGCAAAAAGCCCACCAGAAGTAAGGTTGGGAGGACACTAAAAAGAAGTGTCCTGTGGAGAAAGAAATAGATCTTCAATTATACCAGGAGCCACAGGAGCAAATCCAGTATGCATAGGAGTTGTTTTAATATGAAAATTCTAGTTTCTCACCCGTCGCTTTCAGTGCTATAGATTACAGGTACTGGGGAGTCGAGACCCATTTCCTGCTGGGCTATCTCCAGGTTATGCTCAAATGAGTCAACGCTGCCAATGTTGAACCACAAATAGCTCTGAAACATACAGACAACAGAAAACATCTAGTAATATACAGTATACAGAGAATATGCCTATATACTTACTTTAAGTGTCTTCCAAACTGTCATGGAGCAACCCTTGTGCTTTTTTTGTCTAAAGCAAAGTCTTGTATTTTTTATTTGAACAACAGACGCAAATGGGAATGTGTGAGAAGAAACATGCAGTGTTTCAACATGTATGCTCTTGATACTTTTATGTTTTCTAGCATTTGTTACTACCTTTCTTAGCATTGTTCCTGGTTGATAAATGCAGTCCAGTTACAGGCCAGAGGTCTGGTCCTAAATTACATCTATTAGTATTTGTTTCATTACAGTCAGATTTCATTATGATCAGTGCCGAGCAATACCTGGTAATTTCATAAACTGGTAGGTCTTCTCTCTTTGGTGCATCTGCAACATGCACATTCATAAAGTGCACTGAAGTTATATATAAAAGTGTGTAGATCTGTATATTTTGGTGTAAGATGTAAGAAAAGTGAAACTAAATGGATTTACTCTGGATTAGAGCATGGGATCTTACTGGGATGTTACATGTAATAGATGTTGTTACACATAATGTAAAATGGAAGCACAAAGTGAAACATTATAATCCTCAGTCTCATGGTTTGTTCTGCTGGTATGAATCATGCACACTAGCTTTCATCTTAATATGAGAAATCTGCCCCGCTAAATGTTTTTTCCAAACAACCCCAAACAACATTATTTACAGGATTACTGAAATCTCATTATATACCAGGCACTCAGGTCTCTGTCACAGTTAACCTAATTTTATTAAGTCATTACGACACTGTTGCAACTAACCACTTCTGATGTGTTCACTCCGTGGGCAGGAATGACTTTGACATACTGTTTGTTGACAACCTCCAGATGATCCACCTGTGTACACAGCACAAGAACAAATTTGTCCACATGGTTGCAAACACAGACATAGAGCGATAATAGACATCCATGTTCAGAAGATATCAAAACACTCTCTTCCCTTACCAAGCCTCTGCCCAAGTAGTGATGCACAAAATCCTTCCAGGAGATCTGGACCCCCGTCTCCCGGAAGTAGAAGTACAGAAAAGCTGAGGCCATGCCTGCTGCACCGATGGCAAGATTCCGTACTAATTTTTCATCCAAGGGAAAATCATCCTGTAAGATAAAGAAATGTCGGAAGAGAGAGAGAGTTGATGGACTGAGTAGTTAATTCTGTAAGCTGTGTCAACATGCATGAACAACAAGCCGCTCTTCTCACGCTGTGGCAGCGGTGTGCTCTCAAAACTATGAGCAGCCTTTTTACGGTAGAATGTGACTATTATGGTACTACACGATTTAAGGACAACAATAAATCATCTTACACTTATTTCTGTTTTTATTTCTAATTAAAATATGAAGAATGCAACTTGCACCAATGAGTAATATAAGTAGAATCAGGCTTAGATTTTACATTTAAAGATCTCAGATGCCAACATTTTAGTGAATATATTCCACTTCATCACTGTTTGTGTGTAGTGCCTTTTAAGAAGTCGCATGAACAATGTGAAGACAAGACAAGTTATTAGCACCTGAAATTGCGTCCACCAGTGTGATTCTTCCTTTTTTCCTCCTCTCTGTCTTTTGTCCTCATCGTCGTTTGTGTCCTGCTTGTCCCCTCCCAGAGACTCTTGCTCTTTAGCATTTTCATCTAAAAAGTGACAGACAGCAAATCATACACTGCAGCAGTACTGAGAACAGAGGACGTACACATGGTTCTTTCAGTAATGACACACTACTCACCTTCAGCTGATTTGCTGACGCCAGTGCTTTCTTCACTCTTTGGGAAAAACTTTTCGAATCCTAAACCAATTCAACAACAAACACAAAACAAAACAATGAAGTGCAAATGCCTCACATCAACCCAAAAAGGTTTAGTTCATCGTGTACACTCACTGAACTACATTATGCAGAGAAGCAGCATTAGGAGGTACATTACCTCTTGGCGGTTTGTTTGAGCTAAGTAACCGAGCAAGTGAGAAACTGTGTTGATAAAATCCTCCACATCTCCTTTGGATTAATGACATCTTCTGAAATAAAAACACAATGAATATGTTAGCGGTGAATGCAGGGCCATAAAAAGACCTGGGGAAAAGACATGTAAGACATGCATGAAATCCACATGTTACATGTAATAGATGCTGTTACACCTAATGTAAAATGGTAACATGAAATGAAATGAAAACATGATAATTCAGTCTCATGGTTTCGATCATGCACACTAGCTTTCATCTTAATATGAGAAATCTGCCCAGCTACATGTTTCTTCCAAGTAACCCCAAACAACATTATTCACAGGATTACTGAAATCTCATTATAACCCAGGCACTCTGGACTCTGTCACAGTTTAACTAATTTTATTAAGTCATTACAACACTGGTGCAGATAACCCACTTATACTTGACACTGAACGGCTGCTATACAGCTCACATGGTAGTTCCTTATGTATCTGTCACACGTGCAGATTAAACATGAAAGAAATTATTTTTAAAAGTTACAAACATTTGTGGAAGTGGCTAAAATATGTTTCTCTTCCAAACAAGTACAAAATATTTGATTGTTATTTATCATTAGAGCAACGGATATTCCCTCATTTGGTGTTTTGATGAGAGCACTGTCTTAACACATCACTCCAAAATCTCCCATAGGTGTTCAGTTGGGTTGAGATCTGGTGAATGTTTCATCATAGGATAAAGATGATCACTCAGAACAACTTTGTTTTTATTACTGCCCCAACATTGAACCCGCTTTCAAAGTCACTTAGATCTTTTCCTCTTGCCATCTTGATACAAAATTGGAATCAACTGGACCTACTCAGTAGTTCTTAGATTTACAAGAGTGTTCATTGCTTAATTAAAGAGTGTTAATTGATTGCATTGGTTATGTTTCTCCACTTATTTATTCAAGTTTTTGCTTTAATTTGTCACCTTTTTATATATATCTGAGTAAAGATATGTTTATGTTGAGCAGTAAACTTTATTCTCAAAGATGTCAGGAACCAGCTATTTATCTGGTAGTGATCGGGCAAAGTGTGAACTTTGAGTTTCTCTGGTTTGATTGTTGTACTTGAATAAAAAACAGAAAGTTCACTGAAGCAGATCAGCAGTGTGAAAGATACCTCATCTCAGCCATTGAACCTAGTCTACATCTTATTTTGAAGATATACAGTCACTGAGAAATCCAACCTCCAATTCAAAAAGTTCACTACTTTTAGCTGCCAACTCACGCACATGAGCGAGTTTTACATCTACTCTAACTATGATATCAACATTTGCTTGATCTATTTTTAAAGCTAAGTGCAACTGAATGAATGAATGAATGAATGAATGAATACCAGTGAACAAGCATGGGATAAAAGCACCCCCTCCCCAACAAATGAACCGAGACACGCCCCCTTCAAAATTATGAAACTGAGGAAATGGACTTCTAAACTCAACATTGTCAAACGGACGCATCGCGAGAGTACAAACAACTGAGGAACGTCACATAAACAGTGCTACAGTTTGTTTGTTTACAGTTGTTTTTTGGGGAGGGGGGGCCTGCTGCCTGCACTGAGGAACACTGTGTTCTTTCCTACGACAGACCTCCAGCTCCGTCATACAACTTCGCAATATACTGTTGCCCAACGCATATAAATGTAGCAATTGTAAAAGAAAAGTTTGCATTCAGTTATTTTTTACAAACAGTAGCAAGTTGACGTAATAAGAAAACCAATGACAACGTCACCGTACCGACGGGAGTGCGCTGCTGCTGCTGCGAAAAGTAGCGGAAATTGTGGATAACTTTCGGCTCCACGTCCGAACCGTCCGCACGCGGTTCCGAAATGGCCCGACACTCACAGAGAGAAGGCCCATCTTTTCAGCTACTGTCTCTCGGCTTCACTCACTGGACTGTGTGCCGAGCCATCAACAAGTACCGTGCACCCAATGTGTGCACCCAAAAACCAACCATCTCTCTCATCTCGCGAGACCACGGTTACAAAAGTGCAGAATGAGGTTTCACTTGAGATCAAGGGTGTTCTGTCTGTTTAAAATTTAAAATGCTAAATATTTACTGAAAAATAAAGAAACTGCTAAATAACAATAAGACACAAAAAAAGTAAAAGAAAAAAAATCGCGTTAGAATTATGAGAATAAACAATTTATTGAAATGTGTGATTAGTCAAAATTTTAAATTTTACTAAAACTAACAACAAATAATGCATTCTTCCCTGATAAAATATATGCTGATAAAAGTAATAAAAAGTATTAATAAAATAAAAAAGTAATTGCTGAATATCTTTGTAGTGGTGTTATTGTGAGCTTTGTGCTTTCAAAAATATAAATGAGCATGTCTATTGAGACTAAACAGTCTCATAGGGTATTGAACCCTCTTTAAACCCAAGTAGGCACAGATAAGTTTCTTGAAAATAGAGCAATCAGTGAGACTGCTTTTTTTTATATGATTATAGATGATAGTAAACTTCATGAACTTCAATCAACCTGTGTATTGATATTTATTTACATGCAATATTGACATATTCTGATGCAATGCTTTCAAAGGCCAGAACGCCTGTTTGACAAGAAATTAGGCCCATTTGGGACCAGCACTACTCCAATGCCTGAGTACTGATAAATGGGAGAGATTCCCTTGGGAATCAGACAATATTAACTTGGACTGAGATACTTGATGAAAATGAAAGGATATAGTGAAACATGTCCAACAAAATGCCTGCTAGATAAATATTGGAAATTCCTGGGAAGAGTCAGAAAAGAAAAAGCAAACTTTGGAAAAAGCTAAACTCGAAGGCAAAGGAAATTGATATTAGTATTCATGTGTGCCCTCTGTTGGGTTTTTTTAAAAACAGGATACATTATAATGTACAGAAAAAATAGAGAATTTGAAGTTTTATTACACTAATATTTTTTTGATGCTTGAGAATCCGTTTTTCACCTTGACCATTGCCAAAGCAGGCATGACTACAACATTACTTAGTAGTATTTCCATTTCATGCCACTTCTTACATCTACTTCCACTACATTTCAGAGGGAAATATTTATTGCTGCAGTAAAGCTGATCCACAGAAAGTTTGAAACAATTTTGAAACTGATTAATGATTGGTTCTTTTAAGAAAATATGCCAAAATTCCTTATTCTGGTTCCTTATTCTTTTACAATTATAAACTGAATTTACTTGTTGGCCATACAAGATCAGACATTTGAAGATGCCACACTGGACTTTGAGTAAACTTTTACATGTGACCAACAAAGAAAATATGATGTATTATAAAAAATGGACTATCTGAACCACAAATATATTTGATTTTGTTGCAGCTAGTTTTTAAAAAATGGGTCATAACTGATCGATCAATAGGTGAAAACTGAACTTGACTTCAACACAATACTGCAGCATTCATGTACTTGATTACTTTATTCATGCTCCACTCCACATGCCTTTACAACAGGACATGGGTTTCACCAACACCATGTACAGTATGTCCATTAGTTTAAAAAAAAAAAAAATACAGTACATCATGCTGAAAGATATCACAGCCAAAAGTCATTTAAAACAATTATTTTAGGTCAACATTTACACATTACCAAAGGTGCCACTTAACATATTTGTCATCTCTGGCTGGACAAAATGTGCTATAGGTACTTTAAGACTGAAAACCATTAACATGATGGTCAAGTGTATTAAGACGTTTGGATAACAGCTGTATATTACCTGACAATCTTAGGCACACAATGTTCATGAGTATTCACATCTATTTAATACACACTGCACTAAACTGAACCAGATTAAACACAGATCAAACTGTCTGAAATGAGTTCACAGTTTTGAATAAAAGGAAAAACATTTAACTCCAATATTCCTTTTCTTCATCAGTTCTCCTTACAAGAAAATTTACTGGTAATACATGCTTTAATTATGTGTCTGTTGCCATGGTTGCTATGGTTTTAATGATTGTATATACATCTTTCTTGTCAAACAATTACAAGCCATAGACTTTTTTCCAGTATCCAGGGTGGCTAATTGAAAAATGAATAAACTCAGAGCAGGCCTATACTGTGTGAAAAGGGGCAAATAGGATGCTGAAAAAGAAATATTGCTTTAAGGCCTAGAAATGTTTTTAAGACCGTGTGAAACAGATCAACACAAAAGGAAAACAGGCATGTTAAACGAGTGGAGGACAAGTATGGATGGCTTTAGAGATAGTAGTTGTGAAATACACTGATGATGGAAAAAGAAGTTACAGTGATTATGATCACGTAGTCTAACAGATTTAACTCACTCCTTATTGTAACCTAATTAAACACTAAGCATTTTAGTTGTTTAATATTAACTTATATGACCTAATAAACTTGGAAATGACTGCTCAGTACATGGTTACTTGTGTGTTCTGAGCAGGAACAATTAATATACAACTCCTGCATGCATAATCACCCAATTACAGGGTAGCTTTTCTCTGCAGGGCATTTATTTTGTACATTTATACAAGCCACACACTCTAATGTGAATACCTCACACCTGCACAGTGTTCAGTAAATCCAATTTTAGTGTGAATTAAAAAGTTTGATAAAAAAAATATATATATATATTAATTTCCACATGGGTTTCTAAATACCCTGCTTCATAATGTAGTGCACAGGAAGATAAAAACACTACTGTATAAACATATGCACAAAAAAAAACAAACAAACAAAGACAACGATGAAAAGCTAGCCTTCTCTCTCAGACCTTCTTGATCGTGTCGAAAACAACATGAGGAAAAGTGCAACATCCAGTAACATCATGTGGTCCTCTCTAAAGTTATGCATCTTTCACATCTGACACGTCGTCCTGCTTGCGCTCAGTCATTCGGGCACATCGTGGACAAGTTGTGGAGTTGTCATAGTAACAATCTCTAAAAAGACGTATAAGAAAGAGAAAACAAACACCAAAAAATGTTTGTTATATAATATATTTGGTTAATGGTGTCTATTTGGGTAATTTATTGTTCACTCATAGTTAAGTGTTTGGGAAATTGTACTGGGATAACCTCATTAATCATGCCTTTCTTATCTCTCTGGATGCAGTTTAAAAGCATGCTTAACTAATAAATCTCAGACTAGATTAGCCCAGTAACTGGATGTTTTTAGGGTTACTAGTAGCAACATTTTTCTTAAAAAGTTAATGTTAAACTCTCAACAATCACCATAATTGACTAACCTGTGGAAGACAGCAGAGCAGTCGTGGCAGACTGAGGTGTGACTGTCAAAAGGGAACAGGATGTCTCCCTCCTTACACAGCTCGCAAACAAATCCTTTGGCCTGACAACGCTACACACACACACACACACAAAAATGGGACAGAAAGTCAGAGTTTTGGGGAGGTTGCACGATTTCTACGACCTTAGCTAATGACACGGTACAATCGCCATTAAGTCTCTAATAAGGCAGTAGACTTACTGACAAAAACAAGTCAGCAGTGTCATCAGACTTGTGCTTTGTGCTTCATGTATGAGCTCACCTCACAGTCTAGTTTGATGTGTTTAGCAAATGTAGTGTGGATCTCTGTAAGGGAACAGCTGAGTCTGCCACTGGAGATGTCAATCAAATCCTGTAGTGAGTACATGTCATCATTCTCCACAAAGTGCTGCCGATCTTGTAGCTGGAGAAAACAAACACAGTGGAAAATTATTTTAAAAATGTGTGCAATGCATAACAAAATATATGCAATCAACCAGCATGGCAAACACTTGAATATCTAAGATTAAAACCTTATTGGTGTACATGTTTTACCATTTATGTCTGTTGGAAAGCCTTTTTAACAATTTAACAAATAATAATGCACACATTACGAGGTTCTCACATTTTTGAGCTGATACTGAACTTGAAGTAAGAATAGTCAAGTCAAGTTTATTTGTGTAGACTGACTAATCCCATAGTGTCTCATCAAGTTCTACATCAGCAAGCTTTTCCTCATTTCAGCACGAGCTCTCCACTTCCACCACATAGTGGTGCTGTTGTAATATTACTTATGGGTTACAAATGTCAGTGTAGATGACGATTTAATGACACAGGTGATTTTAAATTGTGGTAGATAGATATTGTAAAAAGATGACGACCTGTAGTAGTAGCCGAGCCTCCATTGCCTCTTTACAGGTAATAAAATAGGGTTTCATCAACAGAATATCTTGACGAAGTTTCTGTAAAGAAACACACACATTAACACACACGTTGTTGCCAGTCTCACTTAATGCACACACTTGAAGTTGAATTCCTCTCTCACTGCATGAGCTAGTACAACTTGATATAAAAGTTGTTTGATTTTCATCATAACCATGCCTAATCTAAAATATAGTGACAAAGTTTTATATAGCCTATATAGCCTAAGAGCATCTTTACTTCAAACTCCACAATTTCTTGCAGGGTCTTTACCTGTGCCTCCAAAATAGTGAGGCTACCCACCCTAATCTCAACCAGTTCCTCCACAAAGTTAAATAGCAGCGGGTTGATTTCTTTCAGCTTCAGAACAGGCCGTGACATCATCAGGGCCAGGTAGCGCAATGACGAACGACAAACCTGCAAAGGAGACACACTGTCAGACCACAGACTGGCTGGAAATACCCACAAGAACACATTAATGCACATTTCACCAACACAGTGATGTGGCTTAAACATGATTCAGTAGACAGCCTGGATGGTCCATGCTCATCATCTGACCTGGATTTGCTACCCTCCTCCTGACCTAGGTTAAACTTGAAAGTAGGTCAGATGCTGATTGGCTTTCATAAAAAGGCATTTCTATTAGAGATCGAAATGCAATTTAATGTATAATGATGTTTTAACAACATTAAGCTGACTCCCCTGAGTAATTTTTTTAAAACTTGGTAAAGCTCCTCTGAAGCCACAAAAAACATGGTTTCAAAGGGTGTGTAGCACATTTCATGATTAGTACATTAATTTTGACATGTGATATGAGTGTCCCCTTAAGCTTATTTCTTACTATAATATAATTGCATGTAATTCTATCAATGAGCAGTACCGTATAGGAATGCAGCTGCAGATAACTATCAACAGTGATAAACAGAGAAAAAAATACAGTATGATGGCATCTCCTGAAAATCCTGCTTCAACATGTGTTCAGTAAACCCACATCTCCTTTATGAAGGGGTACAACTTGACAAGAAATCTCACAGATCGATATATAAAAGGTGAAGGAATGTTTTTACATGTTGAATGTATTTTGCTGTAGCTGTTGAGGGGTACCTTGCGTGGTTCAAACTCCCAGTTGTGGATGACACGAGCTGGGACAATGGCTGTGTCATTCCAGTGGCATGTGCTGCAGTAATACTGGCCTGTGTAGTCACACTGTCTGGCCTCACTTGGAACGCCCCCTATCAGATAAATATCACACAGTACAGTCAAACAATGAAACAAAAGAAAGCTAGATGTACTTAAATACATTTAAAAACACCCTCACTAAACACATAGTATTTGCACATGTAGTAGAAGATTAAGATATTATATCCCATGTCAAAAAGCGAACTTTGATCAGTTCCAATTAGTCTACATATTGCTTTTAGATCCTGTTTCTCCATTTCAACCTGCCAAACATGGACCAACACAGTCCATTCATACTCACTCAGTGAAATAGGTGTGCGGCATTCTGCACAACGGTAGTCTTGCCGGTCTAGTCCTATCTCAGGGCAGATGCTGAGCTCATACTCAGACTGGTGGCTGACCTTTGACCTCACACAGGGCTTAGTGATCAGGTTCATACACTTACTATGGCAACGGTAATAGCAACCTGAGAGAGGAAATAGATACTCACATGACATGACTTTTTTTTTTTTTTTTTTTTGCACACCAACATTAGCACTAAAATCCCCACTATACCCACTGGGTTTGGTATGAATGTGTGGTTGACAGATTCAGGGAGCTGAACAAAGAAGCCGCACTGAGTCTGCTGATAGGAAAATAAATACAAAGAACACTGTTTGGAAAACTGGAAATATAAAATGAAAGTATGAGGAAACCCTGTAATCCCCGTTCTAACCAGTAATCTCATTCTTAAATCAATTAAAATTACTTCTCAGTCTGATTGGCTGAAACAGTGGCACACTATACTGTTACACTTCATTTTGTATGCATGTGGAGTAAAACTTTTGAGAGATCAGGTAAGATAACGCGATGAAGTGACATAGTGTGTGTACCACAGCTTTTAGAACAGGGAATGTTGAGATAGAGCGAGTATAACATTGCATGAACACAGTACGTCACTAAAATCATCCTGTTGCAATGAGTTATGGGAATTATTTACAATTTTGGCATAAAAAGCCAAAAGATATATTGGATGGACTAATATATTAAATAGAGTGTCTCACCTGTGCATGTATACCATGTCTGGATAAGGCCCCAGATGATAGTGCTACACTTGTCACAGGTCTGTTTGACACTCTTGCTCTTTTCCTTAGAGAAACGGTGCTCCAGCAGGATCCTCAGATTGGGCTCATCTTCCTCAGGGTCCTTTCAAGGGTCAAAGTGCAAAACCAAAATTCACCAAGTGTAGTAGTAGTAGTGGTAGTAACACAGTTCATGTATGGTTGTTAAAGACATGCATTACTGCAAAATATGTGCACAATACCAATTTATGTACATTGAAACACTGATATTATACCATAGCTGTTACCATGTGTATTTTGCCTACAAACTGTGATCTGATACAAACACACAAACACAGTAAAATAGAAATATGCAGTATTTGCAGTATTTTTTTTTTTTTTTTTTTTTTTTACATATATTCATCCCCCATATGTTCAACTTCCTACACAAATTTCTATTCCCTAAACAAAAGTTGTCTCTTCAACCTAAATCACATGGGAATTTAACAAACAGCTGTGTTATTGTTTAACTTAAAGTGCTCTGGGAAAATGCCATATAGTTTACAACTTTGGGCACAAGATTCAGCTGCTTCACATGATATGGTTCAAAATGACAAAGCAAAAACGAGAATGTGGATGTTCAAAAACTACTGCTACTTCATGAAAAAAGTCCTTTTGTGCATCACTACCATAACATGCTGTAACACTTGTGGTTGGTTTACAGTAATCAGCCTGACACATTACCAGCATGCTGCCTAAACAGTTTCATCAGTGATAGAGGTTTTCTAAAGGCAGAGAAATTGTTAGGTTCCAAAAACACTAAGGCTAGGCCTAGCTATTGGAAACACAACTCCAGAATGACATATAAAATAACAAACATTCTCTTTTCCATAAAATGTATTCAAATAACTAATTAACTTACTTTCTGTAAATCAAATAAAACATAGAGAAACAGAAACTGTGCTATCTGAAACATGAGGAGTTGACACCCATGAACTTGTTTATCAAGTTATCATTCTCCAAGAATGTCTGCAATGTTTGCTCTCAGTTATTTCATATAGGGAAATGAGGCCAAAAGTGATATAATCATACACTGCACACAGTAATCACAGTATTTCTTAGGATCTTCCCGTTTACCTCTCTGACACTGATCTCCACTCATAAGCACCAATTTTCAGCCACAGGCCAACTACAAACTAAAAACTATTGCACCCATTGAAGTATTCTTAACCCCTAAATACAATATATTTTCCAAATTCACTTGAATGCAGCATTCATTTTAGGGAATGCCTCTAGAATACAGTAAAAAAAAAAAGAAGCATGCTTCAAACATTGTACACACATGCACAGCTGTGCATTCCACAAACTTGAGAACATGCAAGTGAAATTAGCCAATTAAGAATTAAGAACTTCTTTCTAGCTGAGCCAGCACCAAAAACTACAACATCATGTTATCCACTTATCCATTCACTCCTCAGTTCCAACCTTAAGCTCCTGCAGTTTGAGACGAAGGTGTATAAGTTTGACCACCGTGTCCTTCTGCCTCTCTGAGTGTTCTGGCAGCTCCAAGATCAGCTTCTTACACTCCTCTATGGCTAGTTTCAGCTGTTCAATGTCAGAAGCTACAAAAGAACCCTGGAACAGATGAAAAAGAGTAAAGCACGTCTAAACATACAGTAAATAGAAAAGGAAGTTTTGTATGTGTAGCACTCTAAGTTTTTCTTTACTTACCATAGGCCTCGAGAAGTGGTCCTCAGCTAGACCGAGGTCCATTGTCCGATCTGAACTGTGGGTTCTGCTTCCAGAGAACAGCTCAGGCCTTGCTTCTAAAACAAAAAAAAAAAAAAAAGAAAAAAAGAGGGCAACGTGGGATAAAGCACTGTTCTTCTTGTAAGCATTCAAACTATGGTTTTGTAAGTGCACTCGGTCATGCATGCTAATATCACACACATGACTGTGGTCACTCAAGGCAATTCCTACACTCAAGACTCAACACTGGAGAAGTCTTGAAGAAGGACAAAAACACAAAATAGACAACTGAGGTAATCGCAGGCGATTGTCTTATGAGGTCTGGTAATGTGTAACCACACCAGCAACTCCTACAGTGTGATTCAAACTGCCGCTCATCAAGCTGAATGAACTTTGAAGTGTTGATATGCTATCTGCTGCTATTAACTATTTTTGTTTCATCTGTGGTACTACACAGATGGAGAGTAAACCATTGTCGTCCTGATTCAGTGTTTCACACATGTTGAGAGTGAACACAGTGGTGGTGACTGGTGCAGTGTGTGTCCGATGTGCGTGCAGAGACTCATGCAGTTTAGAAGAGGAGAGTTTAACCCAGGTTATTTACTGTAGCTGCAATTTACTGATGATTCCTAAAAGCCTCACATGGAGGCTATTAGTAGACGCTAGGTTGGTGGCTGTACACAGAGAAGCCTCTAGTCCCCACTCAGTTACTGAAGATCAGGAAACTCAGAAAGATGTGTGGACAAAATTTAGTCGGTTGGGGGAAGAAAAGAAACTAAATTTGAAGAAACAAGCCTTTGATTTATAATGACACATTTCAAATGATACATAATAAACCATGATAGTCACATATTTTACCAAACCTTTTCTCAATCTTCTTGAAAAAAATCAGACAAATGCTGTTATTACCTGCATACACCTCAGAAGAAAACATGTTGAGTGAATTCAGCTTCTCAGTGCCCGACAGACAGAGACCAATAAAGCAGAGAAACACAGGTGACACCAGTAAAATCAGTTCAGCTAACCTTTTGTCAGACTTGCCTGTCAGACTGATTATAATGAAACAAAAAAGTTCTGTAATTCCTAAATCCTAAAATACAAGAAATGTGACTATAGCACTGCTTACACTTATGTTTTTCATTTCCTCATTTTCCTCTAAGTGACATTTAGGAAGGTAGATAACCTCAGAAAGAGCTCCTACTGCAGCACTAATCTGTTAAGTAAGGAAATTAAAAAACAAAATCACATAGTTCCATAAGGGAGGTTACTAGACCACCTTTCCACAAACGTAGATCAAGAAATATTTTATATTTATCCTAATTTTCCTACAGCAAAAACCTCAAGGAGAGCTGAGTAGTTTATCCTGCTCAGGACAGACCACAGGCAGGGAACATTTGTTATTTTTTACACAAAACTGGCAGATAAAATTCCAAATTAATTATCCTCTGTTCACAAACCAGCCATTTTTGCAGAGCACAACAGCACATTAATGAAATAATGGCTGGATATCTGCCAAAGTAGGCATTCATTTCTCATCCTCACAATTTTATCAGCTGCACATAAACATGTCAGAACTTAATTTCTGGGATTTTCCTTCATACATTCGAAACTGAAATAGGGTCAAACATAGTTGTGCTGTGCTTGAGGCCTACTTCATGAATTTTGGTAGTTCCCTATAGTGAATTGTAGCATTTCAGGTCCAGTTTCAGTCTTGACTAATAATGTTCTTCACCCGTGAACCAGCTTTTCCTTCACAAGGCCTTTGTGACCACCAGAGAAAAATAAATAAACCCATAAGGTGTGGGAAAATGCAGTATGTGTTGCTGTCAGTCACCAGATTGAACTTGTTTTAATTTTTCCACACTGGTCAGAGTAGCAATGATGTTGCAGGACGACAGTTACCAAAACTGTCCAATGAATTAGGTCCAATAAACAATATCCAAATGACTTCACATTTACACCTCTTGGTTCATTAGTTAGAAATCAGAGTTTACATAAAACAGACTCAAACCCAAAGACAACCCAGGTTTTTTTTTTTTTTTCCTTGAACTGAACTATATTAGAGGTGTGAAAGCACCTTAAAGTGAGGTCATACTCTACACTTGAGATTGCTGTGTCATGATTTGCCTGTGAAGAACTTCAGAGGACTTTACCATGCTGTGGGGGCGTCTTGCCTCCTTGGGGACCATCTTCTTCCTCTCCCCGATCAAAGGGATTGAGGCGGGTTTGGCGGAAAAGTGCAAGTCTCTCATCATACTCCATTTCATCGGCTACATCTAAAGAAGACAAAATACATTACAGTCACAATGAGAGGTTTGTTCATTTCTTTTCAATTATGTTTAGAATTTGAAGTAGGAAGAAGGATCAAGACCATCTTTTAACAGAAGCCAGATAGGCTACAGTGTCATCATGGTTATTACTTAATGTGCAGTGTATTCCCATTCAGATCCCAATTAAACTGCACTGCTCTTTAGTCCTCAGGGAGCTGTACGAGGACAATAAACCCCCACTCAGAGGACCAAACAAGTAAATGTGTCATAAAGTAAATATACAAAATACATGTCGCAATGAAAGCAGTGTTTTGTTTTACAGTTGGTTGAAAAGCTCTGATATGCTCATTGTGCTGCCTTGGCACCTGTAAACATACCAGGGAGACTGTATCATACGCACGCCCTTCACCTGATTAAAATCAGCATGTCCAAAAGCAGCAATGCAGCAATTCAGCTTTGTACTTGAAAGTTGAGGAACTTGCATGAGACAGCTTTTAAAAACAATGGTCAAAATTTAAGTTAAGATATCCTGACTTTCAGTCCCTCTCCCCAGCACTGGCAAAGCTTGAGAAACACTGGATCTTTCACTTCCTAAAACGCAACCCATATGTTATAACATCCTGTTTTCACCGACTTTGTATTACTCCCTTTGACTAGTCAATCAATTCTGACATGAAAACTTGGTGGAGTGCCACTTAAATTCTAACTGTCACCTCTGTTTGTTTTTTTTTTTGTTTTTTTGCTACAGATGCTAAAAATTTAAACAAAGTTTAAGTTAAATAATAATAATAATCAAATAAACAAGTGAAATAATGTGTTGCCCTGTCCAGAGGATTAGATACTGGTCCATGGACAAGTCAGTTACAAGTGGTCTGCAACAGACTTGGGGATTTTCTGCCATTCTTTCTCTGCATATCCTCTCAAGCCCTATTAGTTGGATGTGGGCCATTTTCAGGTCTCTCTAGAGATGTTTGATGAGGTTCACAAGAGGGCTCTGGCTGGGCCACTCAAGGACTTTCAGAGAGTTGCCCCTGTGCCAGTCCTGCATTTCTTGGCCGTGTGTACTTAGGGTCATTGTCCTGTTGTAAGGTGAACCTTCAGCCCAGTCTGATGTCCTGACTTCTCTGGACCAGGTTTTCATTAAAGACATCTCTCTATGTTGCTCCATTCAGCTTTCACTCAATTCTGACCAGCCTATCTGTCCCTGCCACTGAAAAGCACCGCAACATCATGATACTTCTACTACCATGCTTCACTGTTGGGATGGTATTAAGCAGGTGATGAGCAACACCTGTTTCCCCCCCAGACATGACACTTAGAATTGAGACCAAACAGTTCGATCTTGGTTTCATCAGAGAATCTTGTTTGTCACAGACTGGAAGTGCTTTAGGTGCTTTTTTTTTGTTGCAAACTCCAAACAGCTTTTCGACTGTCTCTCGCTGAGGAGAGCCTTCCATTCAGCCACTAAGCCCAAATGGATACTGCAGTGGAGTGTTGCAGTGGTGGCTGTCCGTCTGGAATCTCCACACAGGAACTCTGGAGCTCAGCCAGAGTGACCATCGGGTTCTTGGTCACCTCTCTCACCAAGGTTTTCGACCTAAAGGCTTGGCTTCAGGTGTGAGACATTATATAGACAGGTGTCGGTTAAATTTTCCACAGGCAAACTCCAATCAAGGTGTAGAAACGTCTATGATCAAAAGACACCTTAGCTAAATATCAAGTGTCATAGCAAAGGGTCAAAATACTTTTGTCAGTGTAATATTTCAATTCTCCCTTTTTAATGAATTTGCAGAAATTTCTCAACTTCTCTTTTTGTTTTGTCACTATGAAGTATTGAGCGTAGATTGATGAAGGAAAAAATTAATTAAGGATTTTAGCATGAGGCTGCAACATAACAAAATGTGAAAACAGTGAAGGGGTCTGAATACTTTCTGAATGCACAAAGAAAAGGTCAAAAGCCAGAGGGCTGTGGTATACAAAAAAACTGTTTTATACCATCCTAGTGTTAAAACTACATCTGTTCAATGAAAATCAGTGTGGTGTATTCAGATGTGCAATAGCACTGTCACTAAGCAGGCTGCAAAGCAGAGTTTTCTCTAAACAATTATCAAAATATAGACGATTTAAATGAGTATTAATGAAATCTTTTCATACATATCATCCTCTCGCTCAGCACATGGGATCAATCAAAAAAAACACTGCAAAGCATCACAAAGGTTATAAACACAGGTTGAAGCACTGCCGCCTCATCTCAGCAACTATGAGCAATCGGGGTCGTCTTTCTTTGACAGTCCTCCTCTAGTAACCTTCTTTATGTTTCGAGTATTCCTGCTAAACATGTACAGCATGGGATAAATTCAATTACAGTTATGCCACCAATATAAAAGAGCACATCAACATCAATACACAGATGTCAACAACCAGCTAACGCTAGCTAGCTAACTAGCCTTGAAAACATACCATTCATGTGTTGTTTTGATACTAATTTTAGCGAATTTAATTGGTCCGTGTTGGTCGAATCTTACCCCGTTGTTGACCCTATTTATCATGAGGGAACCGGCCCTTGTAAAATGTGTTTTTATAGCAAAAGCGTGCGGTCAATTATGAGCAGTTCCCCCGTGTTGTTTTGTCTCTGTCATCAGCAACATCAGAAGGCAAAAAAGTGTCAAGTCATAATACTTCGTCAAAACATCTATATCCGGTTAATATTTTCAAAATAAAAACCTTTCATGACAGCCATGTAGTAGCATTATATGATTAATAGAGAAACTAAAGAGGAATCGAATAACTGGTTCTATACGTTTCCTTTGTTCAATAAAAAACTATGCTTGTTTCTATTATCTTACGGTGGTATAGCTAAATGAAGCCACTTTAAGCTGTTTTTATACGGAAGTAATAATTAATACTTTTATTTTGAAAATAGACTTTCAGTTGTTTTACCGTGAGCAGGAATACCTAGATGATAAGGCATCACCTCCAAAGTTTGGACTACATGTCATAGTAGGACTTTTTGTCCCTTCAATATCACTGCAGCCAGTTTCCACGACATCTAGTAAAAATTACTGACTGAATTTGACATTGCACTGGTGATAAAGTTTCATAACACACTGTTCATGGTATTCAGAAGTAGGCTGTTCACAATTTCAAGCTTTCAAGAAGATAGGTGTTAGGACACACATTTGATTGCAAAGGTTGCGTCATGTAGGCAGATGTCACCTAAAATGTTTACATATCAACTCAATACAGCAAACAGTATGATTTATGGAGACTCCATAAAATTACACCATTTTGTCACATTGTCTGCCATGCTGTATCGTCAGGGTAAACAGACTGCAATAACTAAAATAGACTGAAAAGGACAATAAATGCCTTCTTTATCTCTCCTCTACCCCTCTCATTTTGCTAATGAAAATTTCAGCAGAATACGAGTAAATAAGGAGAATATTTGTGAAGTTTTGAAGCTGTGGTTGATTCCAAGCTTTCATTTTTATTTAAAAAACACAAGCAGCAGCTATAATGTTCAACAGTTTGGCAGTTCCTGGAAGCTGTGAGGTTCACATTGGAGCTCATAACATTACAGAGTAAGAAGGGGGTGGTGTGTACATTAATGATGATGAACTTGTAACCTGCAGAAAGTGGTAGTAAGAGAGGATTCTTTTTTCTGTGAAAAGATAGGCGCAGACATCTCAGAATCTGCTTTAGAGTATGCTTCGTGCTTTTTAAGCCTGTTTTATGTCAGTGCCATCCTGGTCGAGCGAACTGGTTGTCACATCAATTCGTGAGTGCCAAACTGAGAAACACACCATATCATCAGGTAGCCTATAAAAAGTAACGAAAAGTACTACATATGCAGTTACACAGTGCAGCCTAAGATGAACCAGAGAATCAATTTCTGCATGTTTAATGAACAAAAATGCCTTTGCTCAGGAGAGATTCTGTATAAAGGGCATTGCGTTCTTATGAATAAAGAGATCTTCTGTTCAATGATTTGAATGCTGTTTGACAGAAGCATGTGACCCACTTCAGACACATTACAAATATCATTTTGTATCACTTTTATACGGTGGCCGAGAGAGCTGAATGCACTGTAACTCAACAAAACACAAGCAAATAGACAAAACACAAGCAAATGAATAAAACATCTTCATCAATTTGACAAGACATGCACTGCAAATACACACACAACACAACCAAGTAGAAAAACATCCCGTCTGGGACATGCTTTTCACTCAAGCCTTTGTGAACTTCTGAAGTTATTGAAGTGTGCTACTTTGCAGTGGTGTTTGGAAAAAGACCTCAAATGTAAGTTCATCTCTCTTTGAAGCACTGACAAAGCATTGAATATCAAGTGCGCATTGCATTCCAGCTGGGTTCATCACTTGTTTGTGTCCCCTGGAAACACTCCCGTTGTCGTCGGTGCTACTTGCAGCGTGTTTCTGTAGTTGCTTGTGTTGTGACTATTTGCACTGCACGTGTTGACAACTTGATGAAGGAGTTTTCTTAAATTGTTTGTGTTTTGTCTATTGCATTGCAGTCCTTTGAGTGTTCATCCTGTCCTCTTCTACCCACCAGTTAAATGCATTACAATGAACATGATCATGAAAACAAAAGCAACTGGGCTTCTGCAGTTCACTGTATGTTGAAAAATGGCTTCAACATAATTTCTCCCGGCTGAGATAAAAAATAAAAAATTTAAATTTAGATTTAAAAAAGAAACTGAGGAGAAAATAACAAAAACACAAGTGGATAATGAAGGCACACAATGTAAGTTAGTGTTAGGAGCACCAGTTGTTACCTTGAATGAGACTGGTAAACAGTGATCGTGGCATAATGGATTGCTAAGTCTCTAAATTGTAAGATTTAAAAGAAAGAAAGTCCAAATAAAAAAAATGTAATTTGTTTTCCTGGTCACAAGATAATGGGCATAACAAAAACAGCCACTGCTACTCTTGGCTTATTTTATTTTATCCTTTCATTTCAGTATTCAGTATTTTTTAATTATTTGGCAGGCCACAGTTATGCCTCAAGAACTTTTTGGTATTTGTATCAAAGTAAATCTTAGTTTGTTTATATATGCTATTTGTGTCCTTCCTTGAGGGTCAGAGCCTTGGTTTCTGGCCATATGGAAAACCCTGAATCATTATAGCTTGAGTGTGTTTGTTGTTTGGATGGCAGCTGTCGAGGTTTGTCTTTGCTATGAACAGAGCTGCTTTGTGAAGCTAAATGAAGAAAGAAGTCCTAACCCTAACTGTAAACACGATGCTCGCTGCAAATTATACACACTTTGGTCATGCTTTGGGCTAATCAGCAATAATTACTGTCAAGTGGCATTCCCATGACATGTCTATGTCTGCTTCCTTATGTAATATATTTGTTAAGTAAATAATATATAATACTTAAATATTTATTATGTTAATATTTTGTTATTAAGCACATCAAGGAACAAGACGTGTCTACATTGCTGTCTAGATAGATAGATAGATAGATGATAGATAGATCACATTTTTCGTGCCCATCTTAATCCACTAAAACAACAACACTTCTGCTAAAACGTTCAAATTAACAAAATTAACAAATTAACAATTAACAAAATTTGGTCATAAAATGAATGTACCATTACAGCCAATACAAAACTTAAATGAAGATGTGGAGTGAGCAATATTTCAAAATCCATTTTGCAATCCATTTTTTGGTATTTCACTCTTGAGATGTTAAAATGGAAAGATGAAATTTTATTTAATTATTCCCAAAGATGCTCATGTGGTTGAATTAAATTAAACCTAGAATTTTTTTTGGAATAATTGAAAACAATTAAGATTTTTAATTTCTTCCTTGAGGGCCAGATGAAGATTTATATTTGTTTCAGCTGGAATTCCCCTTCCTTTTAGATAGAGAGATAGAGAGATAGATAGATAGCTAGATAGATAGATAGATAGATAGATACATCAGAAACAGGTTTAAGAAAGGTTGGAGTGCAATAACTGTGCAAAATGGCAGTGTATGTGGTTATTTACTGCACAGCAACAGAACTTGATCATGAGTTTAAAAATGGAGCATTTCAAAAATGTGTCTGTTGTTTGTGTTTTGTATCAATGGCCCCTCTGTCTGTTGAGAGCAAATGTTGTCTTGCATACATTTTTTCTATGAAGCAGAAAAAAAGAGTTCATGTTGCATGTAAATATGTTTAAGTTCAAAGACATGCAGTTAAGTTTTAATGTGGAGTTACCTGTAAACATGTAAAGAATTTGGGACTTTTGAAAGCATGAACAGGAGCAATAATTTGATACCCTGTTTATCTATCTCCTTATATGACGGAACTGTAGATTCTTATCTTGCTTGCGTGCACATGAATGAAAACTTTTTGTAGTTTGGATATTTGGTCTTCAAATAACTAATGCAACCTCCTAACCCAGAATGCTGTGTAATAACAAGAAGTAAAATCATGAAAAATACAGTACATTGAAGGAGTGATCAATAGTAATGCTGCTGTTATTATTGATTTACCACAAGCTTTTCTTGTGTTGGCACCTTTATTTGAGACAAATATGTAACATGTAAACAACTGCAAGGATTACACATATTACATATTCCTTCAGTACAGTGACTGTACAACACAATCTTTTTTCACTCAGTTTCACACGCAGTTTTTGTAGTTATACCCAAAGCCTTTACAGTATGTGTTCAATTAGGTTTACTCTAGGGGATATACTGCAGCACTGAGCAGCAACGTCTTGTTACTTTTAAAAGAGATTATTTGTAAATAGCAGATACCAGACAACCATACTGGTTGAGGAACTGGTGGAAGTGGCTGGGGAGAGGGCTGTCTGGACCTCTCTGCTGAGGTTGCTGCCCCCGCGACCCGGATCCGGATAAGCGGGAGACGACGAGACGAGACAGACAACCATACTGTATTCACAATCCTCTGTAAAAACTCCCATGCCAAAAAACAAAATAAAATACAGTGATGGTGTTAAAAAATACCACTAGGAATATTACAAAAAGAAAAGAAAAAGTAAAGTCAGTTATAGTTCAAAATCAATAGAAAAATTACACTGAAAAATATCAAGGACTGAATTCATTGATAACAGTGGGGATTGTGTACAGTATATATTCCCCAGCAGTAAAAGCAAGAACTACAGTGAACAGCAATCTACATTATTGTCAATATTAACATGCATATTTCACACTGCATGGTTTTATAACTAGTAAATGAAATCCTTATTTTAGTCTTTGTAGACAGACTAGTCATGAGATCTGTTCTTTTTTCCCTTCATTTGGAAACAGCTGTCTGTGAAACCACCGCAAAGCACTTTTATACCCAGCACTCTGTCAGGATTTTTTTTTTTTTAAACTTCATGGCTCAAATGCAGATTTATGATGGCATTTCAGTTTTTCTAAAGGAAAACCGGTCAGTTAGAGTCTAAAATGTTGCCCTATTTACAACAAATCCATAGGATAAATAAAAAATATGATAGTTTATCATAGGATGAATAAAGTAAAATTTGTAAAAGATTAAAATAGAATAAAATTGCAAGCTTCTCGATTTCCAGATCTATGCGTTACATCCTATAGTACATTTCAGGACAATTTCATCTAGCTCATTGAAATTGAAATTGCAACTCTAGGTTGTGTCAAGGCTGGCATCTGGTTCTGTCTATTTGCTTTTTTTTTCAATAAAATATATTTAACAACAACTTCTCCATAGATATCAGGACGAATGTATCACATGTCCTACAAATGCATATAACTCAGCCACAGCTCTTTAAGAAACTGTCCCTCTTTGCACATTTCAGAGAATCTCACAAACTTCCACAAATATAACTTTGATATGCCTTCTTTCATAAACCCTCTGACACCCTGGGCCTCAGGCCTACCATCATACAAAGCCATTCATGTGATTTTGCATCTTTTTTTTCCTTCAATCATCCGGACATTTATTTTTAGGGGAGTAGCCTAATTCCCACACAACGCCTCCAAATAAGCCTTTTTTTTCTTAAAGTTGCATCACACCATATAAGGCTACTACAAAGCTTTCCTTTCATATCTCATTGATTTCCTGCTTCATTTTACCAGCTTGGATCAATGATCTTTGTCTGTTTATTCCTAAATAAAATAAATTGTGTTTTAGCAGCAGTTATTTCAACTTTTTTATCATTACACGTAATGCTTCATTTTGTTTTGTTTTTTAACAATAGGAAGTGGACACAAAATGGAGAAAAAGTTGCATATGAAAATAATAGACCACTAGACCTCACATGGTAATTACATCTCTATAACACATCACATTATCTTAAAAGCCTTGCATGTTAAAACCTTAACCATAAGCTCCCTAAGAAATAAATCCAACTTTAGGTCTGAGGCAGAGATTTTTGTTAAGATTAATTTCAAATAGAAATAACCCAATGATGAGCACAGTAATATTCAGTTTTAATTTAATGAAGGGAGAAATTCAGGTCAGAGATATAATATAACATATTTCCAGTGCAAGTTTTTAGTTTCTTTTCTTGATTTCTCAATAGCTTTTGAAAGCAGAATTAAGAGAAATCACATATTTCAACCAACAAAAAGAAGCATTTTATATACAAGAAAACTCAATTTGATTTGCAGGGGGAAAAAACACATGAAAAGACTCTTAACAAAAATAAATTGCTGATCAGTTACTATAATTTACATTGACCTAATGACTCCCTTAACTCAGAGAGTTTCAAAACTAAGGTTCTCTCTTAGTTAAGAGAGTTATTAGTGGATTAAATGTCCAGATGTTTTACAGTGCATGAACCTGAGCCCAGACTGGTGTAATGCAAAAATAAATAAAAACTGAAGCCACACGTGGAATAATCAGCAAATCCACAATGACATGTAGCCGACAGGAGTCTTGACCAGAGATACAGTCTTGGTCTGTTATGTACAATGTCTGGCATGGGCATCAACCAATGGCATCAACAGACATGCACCAGTCACGGCTTACTTCAGCTTTAGACACAATGTACATTCAGGTAGAGCAGGGGCCCTGAGGGGGTGGGGTGGGGCGCCATACCGGGACTGACAGGGGCTCTAAAAATGTATTACATTAGGTTGTTTTTTTTTTCAATGTTAAATTATAAACATATCACCATTAATATAATAGAATATAATATTTTATGTACAATTTACCAATAAAACTAAGTTTCTTTTTCTTCTCCCCTTTACACGTGAAACAGGTTGGCCCTGGTATTTGATTTTTTTCATTATTATGAAAAAAAGAAAAATGATTAAATCCTTTAATGACAAGAATTCAAAAACTGTAATTATTTGTCCACATAATGATTATATATGACCACTTGACATTTCCTCTAGCACCACCATCGGGCCTTTTTATTTTGTTTTTCATTGTCCATTTCCACTTTTACAGCTGCTTATTTTCTAATTGGTATGTGATCCAATAATCTTCTGTATCTTCTATTCTTTTGCTTTTGTTTGCTATATCATTCTATATGCTAAACTATAATGTTAATTTATTTTGATTGAAGAGTTTAATGTATATTTAAGTTATAATTATTTTAGGTAATTTGTTTATTTTCAGGGAATTTTCCATCGGTTGTTTGACCATTGTAATTACATTTAAACTGTAGGAGACGGCCTTTAACGCGTTTCTTACAGAGGGTATCAGTTTTGCATCAAATAGTGAATTCCATGCAACATGTTGTATGCATGTCTGCACAGTGTTATATTTTCAGGGTTGGCATGGCCTGTGGCGGCGGGGCCCATTGTGATATCTTTTCATGTAGCCCATAATCCCTGGCGGCGCCCCTGAGGAAAAAGAGATGGCCGACATTGTTAATGACCCGATTTGCCCTCTCTTGAATATACTTGATGTCACACGCCGAAGCACCAAGAACACATGACCAACTCCTGTAGAGTTTTACGCAGCTCCTGGCTCCGGTAGGCGTAGATGAGCGGGTCGATGAGCGAGTTACAGATGATGAGGATGAGGAAAAGGTTGAAGTTTCGGAAGAAACAGTTGCAGAAGGGGCTGGTGGGGCAGGTGAGGATGAGGATGAGGTGGAGGAAGAAAGGGCCCCAGCATAAAATGAAGACCCCAAGCAGGATGGTGAGGGTAATCGCTCCCTTCATGCTCGTGGATTGGCGCCTGCTTTTGTGGAAAGCCGTGATGCGCCGGGAATGCACGTGCGCCAGGAGGAACATGTGAAGATATAACACGGCGTTAAACACCAGCGTGGTGCAGAAGAAGGTCACGAGGCACACGATGACGGCGTTGTCTGTGTGGTACACGATGAAGAGGATGCTGGAGGTGATGCTGGCCAGCCACACCACCACGATGATGGTGATGGCGCGCTGCGTGGTCATGATGCTGTGATAACGCAGCGCGTAAAAGATGGTGATGTAGCGATCCGCAGCGATGGTGCACAGAAAGGAGAGCGAGGACACCACGGAGCTGCAGATCATCACGTCGATGACGTTGTCCAGGTGGCGCAGCATGCCTGGGTGCAAGTCCAGCAGGCCGTGGTCGTGGAGAAGCATGAACATGGTCTCCACAACGTTGCTGACACTGACGAGCATGTCGGACACGGCCAGGCAGCAGATGAAGTAGTACATGGGCGAGTGCAGGTTGCGGTTCTTGATGATGGCCAGGATCACCAGGATGTTCTCCACCAGGCTGATGAGCCCCAGCGCCAGGAAGAGCTCCTGGGGGATGCGGATCTGCACGCAGCCCAAAGAGTGTCGCTCACCGCCGGTAGAGTTCGTTTCGTTCTCCTCCAAAAAGTCATTTACCGGGCTGAGCTCCACGTGGAGGAGATAGGGGTTATGCAGGGACCTGTTGGTCGTTTCCATATCTGACTTCTGTATGACGACTGTGTGTTTACAGGCTGTCCTGGTGGATCTTACTGCAGCACAGGGTCAAACTGGGTGAAGAAGTTTCATCAGTTTTCTCTGTGGTTTGGATGATGCTTCGGCATCAGCTGTTGTAGTCACGTTGCCCTACAGCCAGCTGGAAAATTCAAGCGACTGTTCAGTTGTTGTACTTATCGACACGTTGACTGTTAAATATCCAAAACGCGCCGTTTAATGCAATGTCATTAATATTCATCTCAGCCATTGAATAGCTTAAATTAGGCGGCTGCTGAGGTGAACAGTCACATTAACGCACCGCAGCAGTCTGGAGAGCTCGCGCGTTTTGTCCGTGTAAAAAGTGCGTCTCCTCGCCGCAAGTCTTCTTTTCTATGGATGCAAAATGTCCACAACAGAAATCCATAAAATGTCTGTTTCCACTAATGCGTTGCGTTCACAATTGATGTTTTTTTTACTCTCATAGTGCGCCCGACCCGCCTATCCGCAAAACTCCTTGAATCAGTTCAGACTATTCTGACCAACATGGTGACAGTCAACAAAATGTCTTTGGTATCTCGGGAATTGGAGACTGTGAGTTGCTTGAGCATTTCTCTAAGTGATGCTGGATCCTGAAAGACTCGAGGCGACTCCTCCTCTCACGGAAACGTCAGCTGGATTGCGCTCCTGTCTCAGTGGCCTCATGTCTGACGGCCGCAAAAAAAAAGGTTTCATCATTGTTGTGTCCAGTTTTTCATCTTGTACCTCTCTGACAAGTTTATTTAAATAAAGACTATACAACAATGTTTCCTATTACCTGAACAGATATAAATACAAACTAATAGATTCTGCAGAGAACACGTTTACGCAGCATGCGTAACAATGTCACCACTTCACCTGTCACCCCTTCGTGGTCATTGCTTACAGACAATTTTTTTTCTTCAGTGCATGGCCTTTAGAAAGCCCTTTATTTTGAAATCTTGTATCTGTTTTTGCCTCCTGTTGAAACCAATCCAGATGTTAAACCATATTAAAGGGAAGGTTTAGGTTGCTGTAACTGTCCCCCCTGTCTATAAAACTGCAGAGACCCATTCCTAAAGCAAATTCAGCGTAAGTGATGGAGGACAAACCCCACAGAAGATGAATGTGGAGCTTCAACTGTCTGAATCAGACAAATCAAATGAGTATCTTCCAAAATTAGAAAAATTAGAACAAGATTCCCTCTTTGTGTTTCAGTTGACAGCGTTTGCGTCGCGAGCCACAGCAGAGGGACAGTAAGAGAATTTTGTACTAAAAAAAGACAGTAATTTTGGAAGGCATCCACTTCAATTACTCAGACTGCTGACGCCTCATATTACCGCTTCTGGATTTTGGAATGCAGTTTTGCACATAACTGCCAATGTGACCCCATGTCGCTCACACCGAAAACATCAACAGGAGAAACTAATACAAAAACTTCCTTGAATGTGCATGTGGGTGTGTTCATGACAAAATATCACCCCATCCTTTAATGCAATTCCACATGTGAGTTTGACTACTTGGGTTTTTTTGACACTGCAGGCCTTCAGCTGTTTACAGCAGTTGGATTTAAGCAGCTGTAACATGTGAGATGTTATATGAGTCAAATTTCGCAGTAAATATTATAGATCATCAACCACAAACTCGTGTTTGTGACTTGAAAGAAGAAATCCTCAGCTGAACAAAGCATGGTAATCATACATGGACTATCTGTCAGAAATTGTCACATTATGTGGGGTTACTGACCCAGAGAAACTATAAGTGGAACAATCCATTTGGTGTTTTCCATTTGAGTATAGTGCTGCAAATCATTCAAATGGCTTCTACCTGCTTCACAGTGAAATAGTCACTTCAACGCCTTTAAAGCACTGATTGAAAGCACTTGCATCAAACATCCTCTGACCACCCTCCACCCCACCCACACACACACACACACGCACACACACAGAGCTCCTTCTGAGCCACTGATATGAAAGCCTTTCTATCCTGCTGATGCGTCACATGAAAAGTTCTCACAGCCTCAACCATTGCTCCAGGTGAACTAGGAACAATGACATCATTTTACCATCAAGCACAGTCACACGCATCATGTGGCTCACTGATTAAAAAAAAAAAAGTTAGTGTATAGACAGTTATAGTTTGTGTGAGTGTGAATTGTTCAGTGTCTCCAGAATTTATGTCCTCTATGTGACTGCAAAGCCTCTAGGTTGACTCTTGTTTGTTAGTTTGTATTTTTTAATGAAAAATGAATGTTCTAATTGAGAAAAAAACAGAAGAGATACTTGAAAATTCAGGCTCCAACTGGTATTCTTATGTCATGGTTTGACTGGAAAATAAAATGAGCACATCATAGTAAATGGAAGTCTTAATCCTAATAACCTTACAAAACGCTTTGCAGTATGAGGCACATTCACTCATTCACACGCACATTCATACAGCACATCTTTATCACACACACACACACACACTCATTCACTGATCTACTGTACATCTTGCCCAAGGGCACTTCGACATGCGGAACATGAGGGGCCAGAGATTGAACCACCAACTTTCCAATTGTTGGACCAACTGCTCCACCTCCTGAGCCACAGCCGCCGAATGGAAATCTTATTAAGGGCTTTGCACACTGTCAGGGATCTTAGCGTCCTACTCCAGACATAATTATGAAGAAAAAGAATAATCATATGGAGAATGGTGAAAAATAACATGTTAGAAATAATAACTGTTTTGTTGGTGTGGTGCCAATTATTACTGTAGCCCCAGGTTTTCAGTGCAGTTAAATCAGCCCTCATAGAGTGAGGTCATGAGTAAATGACTGAGAGCACCAAGGAAATATTAAAATCAATTTGGGCAAAATTTAGAAACTATCTGCCATACTCTTGCACTGGATATAAGTTGATGGACAGCAGCGGGCTACTGAAAAATTCCAGCCATTTCTCTATTCTGTTTTATTCGGAGTAGGTCACAAATAATCAAATACTGGTGAGTCAACTCAAACTGAAATGTAAGAATCAATGTCAAACAAACACAGCAAGAGTGAGGCAGCACAACAAAGCAGGAAAACAGCAGACATCCTGCAGCAACGATATGGTTTATTTGTGTTATTATTTGCATTGTTGTATTCTGTATTGTATTCTGAAAATGTATTTTCTTTACCTTATTCCCTCAATTTTAAGGAATGTGTCTGCATGTTTGTTTGTTTTGTTTGATTGTTGCAAAGCACTTTGTAGTCCCCAATTCCGATAAGTGCTATATAAAAAAACATCATTATCATTATCATTATTATTAATATCATACAGGAATAAAAAACATAGACTGGATGCCCAAGAAAATGAAATGTAAAATGCTTATGTGACAAATGTCATAAAAGTAACCAATGAATCAAAGTATTTCTTTTTAATTAAGACCAAAGAACAGATTCCCAGCATTGTCATAGTCTGGATTCAGTAAATGCTCAAATTAGCAGCAGACAAGGCTAAAATTCAAAATCATGTATACTGAAAATGAAATCTGAATTAATCATGAAGGCTTCAGAATAACATGTCAACTGAGCTTCCACGAGTCACAGGAGAAGCAGGTTATCAGTCCCAACAGAATCTCACTCAGATGTGTTTGTAATTATTTGCCCTGTCAGGAATGAATGAACTTGTATTAACTTTTCTAAAACATAATAAATAGTAGTCAAATAATTAATGTGTTTCATCTGCCTGTTTAACCTAATGTTTGTTTTCGCCTGTTTTGGAGTCCCATGCCATATTTTGGAACTTCACTAGACAATTATTTAGTAGGAAGTCACAGAGGTCTGGGGAGTGAATACAGAGTTTCACATACATTGATTTCTTAACTTAATTTTCCTTCACCTGACATATACAGTACACTACCGGGCAAAAGTTTTAGAGCGCCCCCACTTTTCTATTTTTTCTTGAAATTTCTGCAGTTTAAGTCCTGTGGATGAATGGCATCAAGGTTAGTGGTAAGCTGCCCAAGGTAAAAAGGAGTTTAGTTCACCAAAAATTGAAAAATCATGTAAATTTCATATAATACTGGTTTTTCAGGGATTAAGAAGTTGGTTAACTTACAACTTTGCTGCAGCAGTGGAACTAAATGAAGCCTTGAAAGTTAATGCAAACAATTCCTACAGGTGCCTCAACTTTTGTTGATGACTTACAAACCGTCTGTCTGGACAAAGACAGTATTGGAGCAAACTGTGTTGCTACTCCCTGTGATGTATTATCTGGACAATACTGTACTGCAGAAAGCAGTTCTGTATACTGCTGTCAGAATGGTGATAGCAATATACAAGAAAAGAAGAAGTTGGAGGCTTCACATGATGCAAGAGCAGCACAGTCTCCAGACTTAAACCTCATGGAGCTGGTTTGGGATGAACTGGACAGAAGGTGAAAGCAAAGTGAACTACAAGTGCAACACATTCGTGGGAATTTCTGTTGGGATGAACTTTCTAAACAATGTTTCATCTCCATTGTAAAAAGAATGACACCAGGGTGTTCTGCTGCTGAATGAGTCAATTCAGAAAGACAGACATTGCACTATATAAATTTCAACAGCAACAACTGGAAAAATTGAGGCATTCTAAAACTTTACCGATATATACATATATGTATATGTTTTTTACATCAGAGTAAAGTCTGTACAAGATGATTATGGTCACAGGATCCCCTCAAAAATGCTTGTTTGTTTGAAATTTTTCCATATTCAAATAGAGCAACAAAGGTGTTCGTTATTATCAATTAGCCTTGAAATTCCATTCCTGCAGCAAAAAAGATTTCCCAATGAAGTATCTTAAGACAGGAGCTTGTCTCTTTAGTCAATGAGAAGAATGACTTTCTTTCTGATTCTGTGGCTTATTAAAAAAAAAAAAAAAAAAAACTGTTAAAGTGCTGCAAGGCAAAATTTGGAATTTGTGAAACAGATCGTCCACTCAGCATAAGAACAAAAACTTTTGTGAGCATGAAAAACTCTTTGTAAGCCAGAAACTAGACGAAGAAGAGTAGCACCGATTAAGTGTAGGTGCTGCTCAACTCACAATGACTGGAGATGATGGAATTGTTTAATTATTGTAAATAACACTGTCAACTTTAGTGATATGACAGGTTCAACTAACCAATCTGTTTTCTGCCTCTGACAAAAAGGTTCCCCAAGCTCTCACTGAATTGCCCCTGAGTAATATTCCTTTTTGTTTCATCAATGCCACTAAGGCAGAGAAGTGGACAGGCTCCAGACATCAAGTCCTCTGTTTCTTTCACGTTTGTAATCTGAAAATGTAACAATTAAAAATATTTGTCCTTCTCCATTTCTTATTAACCTCCATTAAATATTTTCATTTTTCTTAACGACATTCATTTTTGAAAGTTTCTTTGTCTTCTTGGTTCCTCTTCATCCTCCTCAACACTTATTATTCACCCTGTCTCTCTCCTCTCAGTCCCATTCCTCCTCATCTCTGTAGGGGTTGTCCTCTCTTGGTGGCTCTTGAAACCTGATGTTTGCCAGCATGTCCCTCATTGCCACCATAAGACGATTCACTTCCTGGTTCAGCTCCTGACCAGCTCGCGCCACTTCCATATCATCCTCCTGCCTCGGTCCACCCTTTACAAGGAAAGAGACGTAAATGAATATACACATGCCTAGAGTCTGAATCATTTCACTGTCAGCATTTGGCTTTCTGAAACTGACAACTATTCTGTTTTAACATACTTGATATAGAATTCATTGTCAGTGTTGCACTTGATTTCTGAAATTGTTATCCAATACGAGACAGTCATTGGTATATTTGATTATTTTATTACATTTTATTATTTGTTAAGTGTATTTTAATAAAATCCTGCAATAGTTAAAACTGGTTCAACACCGGAAGCACTTCATGATGTCAAAAGAAAGGACTGGTTGTACTGTTTTATATATATTTTTTTATTATTTGGTAAGTTATTAACTAAATGGTCCCATTTGATGGGTACATGATCAAACACAAATAACAACACATCAATACCAGGGTAATCTAGGCTTGTGTTATATAACATTATATTCTTTTCAGACATGTAACTTTAACAGTAAAAAAAAGATCTTCCTTTGTCTTAACTATGTTTGTTTTATCCATATTGTATCTCTTCCTCTCCATAAGTGGATAACACGATCAGGATGGATGGAACTGTCCTGATGGAAACATGCCTTGGGCCCATCTGTTAACATTAAACATGTATAGCCGATCCACAACATGTTCTGTGTGTGAGTGTACCTGATAATGTAGATGTATATAATATACAGACATGTCAGATGGGAACCTTTCAAATTATGGCAAGTTTGTTTTTGTAGAAGAATAAAATAAACCAGTGTTCAGTATATTTGCTTCTTTCAGCCCACTCAACCAATACCACTTTCATATGGGAAATGCCCACGTGATGTGAACTACATTGCTGTCGGCCACAGTGCCTTTTTTTTGCTACCACTGAAGGATGCTGAAGTCAGAATTTTTTTTGTCTTTTACGACACAGAATAAATTCATGATCTGATATTTTTTCCCCACACAAGACTGTCCCAATTGGATTACAATACAGTACACGAACCTATCAACCGACATTACAATATGAATATACATCTATATATGTTATTATACAATGCTTAGTATGATTATGATTTGACAAGATAAAGCCTCCCCAGTCATGCAGCTCTGCTGTTATGATTAACAGCTTCTGTGTGGAGAATGGTGCATGCTTTCTTCATTTATACAGTTGCTCCCTGATGAAATCAATGTTCAGTAGGTAGAGAGATAGATAGGTGACTTAATTAATCCCCAGAGGGAAATTAAATTGTCACAGGAGCTGAATTAACCTCTTTCGTTAAAGAAAAATTACAGAAACCTCAACGATGCTGTAAAAGAAGCATATTCACATTGCTCTTCCTTTCACCATCCCGTAAACAGTGATGATTTACTACTTTTAGATGCTATCAAGCCCATATTTATTATAGGGCCAAATCTGACGCATATGACAAAAACACAGATCAATTAAAGATTTGTAAAGTTTTATAGTCACCTGTGTTATTTATCTGACAGCTTTATACACTTCACAAAAGGAGGATCCAGAGTTTGAGACGATGCATGTGGAGTACAAACGGTTGAAAACATCAACCCTGACTCCAGAGGGTTGATTAGTTCATTTGAATGTCCCTCAAGTCCTCCTACCTAAACTGTAAGCTTGTTCATAAGCCTTGTCACGTATAATGGTTTTCTGATCTGCTCCGTCTGTAATTAAGGTATGTTTAGATTTTGGCAACTAAAATGAGCCAGTTAAGGTGAGGAAAAGATTAGATCAGTTGACTGTTGGAAGGAGATCAGAGCAAACTGAGGTCTACATTGTTGAAGTCACACCCTTGTAGACTGCAGTGGTCAGCCTGCAACAACCACTCCATATAATTTCTGTTTACTATATCTAATGATAATTCAGATAATGGTATTTATCTAATCAAATCTTTGTAAAATGACAGCAATATCATTGTTAGGTACAGTGCTGTATTCAGCTAAAAAGCTGTGAGAGCTGGTATGTTTGGATTAAAAGCCCACAAGACTTGGACTGAAAATCAATGAGATGAACATCTCATTGTCCTGCTCTACAGCAAAATGTGTTTGTCGCCATATGGTCTTTGAGTAAATTTGTCACACAATGTAGGCCAAACTACAGTCTATTCTGTGGGAGCGAGGGGTAAGCAAATAATGTGGAGTAAATGAGTGGAAAGAGCAAACACTCACTTGTTGCTGAGGACAGAATGGACCAAGAATGACTTGCTTTAGTTCAATTTATGTAACACCACCCCCACCACAAATTTAATATATTGCTGACATTTAAAATAATTTAAAGTCAAGTTATAACTGAGTGAATTATCTACAATTTAATTCAAAATGTTTGTTTTTCAAGTCCACTGGACTGACGGCAGCTTCAAAGTAACATCCACTACTTTGATAGAAAGATCTCAAATAATCCACTTCTTCCAAATACCAATCTCAAAAATATAGTACCATAAAAACTCCCAAGTGTGATGAGTCCATGAGACAGAAGTGGACACAGATAATCCACAAATTCTGATGTTTGTGTCCCTTTTTTTTTTTTTTTTTTTTTTAACCCTTTTTAAAAACATTTTTCACTGCAACACAGGCTATGGGACCGGCTGCTTAGTATGGTGGATTTGGATCTCAAAATGTAGCCATAGTAATGAAGGCCAGCTATTGTTGAAATGGAAAAAAAAAAAACACTACACAAGATACAGGTAACATTCAAGATTGACAAAATATCCCACAATAATCACGGGAAAGTAAACTTGGCTCTATAACCTTTAAATTTATATACGCATCTAACTTCATAATTAGGGAAGAGACAGCCAAATCAAGGCAACAAACAAGTTTGCACTCATGAATGTTGTTATTGTTTTGTTCCTCAGTGACACACTTAGAAATCATGGACAGAATTAACTGTAACAAGGTCATATGCCTTCTTTGATATTTTTCAGTCATCATCCCCTTAGGGTTACCATGAGTCTTTGGAGGAAATATTTCATCAGTCAAGGATGTGTATTAAGATTTTTTCCCCTGATCTTTGACCAGTTCAGATATTTCCACCAGCCCTGGAGGGTCCTGCTACTTAATAGGTCTATCTGTATCTTATTTCCATAATCATTAAACAGGAAACCCAACCTTTATGTTGTGTTCCTTCAATGACTTTGGACAGTAAGCTCAATAAAAAAACACAACTCTCTGGACATCTTGCAGGAAATCAGAGCACCATAAAGAGAATTTACAATTGCAGCAGTTGACGCCCTTTGAAGCACGTCAGTTCACTGTGAATCATTCACAGATTCTGTGCACGCACAATTAGTTAGAGACAAATTAATTTTATCTGTAGGGCTTACAGCTATTAATCACATGATGTCCCCACATGCACACCATGGGTTCTTCATTCATGTCCTAAGACGTTTTTCTATTATTTCATAGTAGCAGCACCAAGGTTTGTCTTCAGATGACATCACCAATGTTGGCTCTTCAGCTCGAGAAGAGACTTTCTAAAATTCACCACTAAGATATACAGCATAATATAAATACCATATGTAGATTCAGTTTTAGGGTGTGTTTGATCTTTGAATATTTGGAACAAGTGAAATATGTTTTAAGTCATGGAAGACAACCGTCATGTGAGTCTTCCATAACACTAACTCCCAAAAGTTGTATGACTCTCTACATAACAATATTTAATTTGAGGGTTTTCAGTCAGGATTTAGAGTACATGTAGAGCATCATAGCACAGAGACAGCACTGGTGAAAAGTTACAAATGACCTTCTAATTGTATGAGAAAAGGACTTGTCTCTGTACATGATTTTTTTATACTATTGATCATCACATCTATTACAGAGATGCGAGCATTTAATTTGCATTGAATGAACCGCACTCTGCTGTTTTAAATACTATTCATCTGTAGTTAGACACTGTGGTCCAGAGGGTTCTACGCTTCGACCAATTCTTTTCGCCCTAGCTATGGTTCCTTTAGGTACTATTATTTAGAAACACTTGATAAAACTTTCAGATGATTCCCAACAACAGTGCAATCAGAAAGTGATCAATTAGCTTACTACTACTAATGATGATCATTATACATCCCTACGTGGAACTTGCGTTGTGCTATGTTCTCCTTCCTCCTGCTTTCCATCTCTCTTTCTCTCTCTCTCAATTTTTTTCATTTCAGCATGTTTTATTGGCATGAATGGCAGATGAACAATATTGCCAAAGAGTCGAGGATAAGTGATAAAATACAATTTATTAAATAGATAAAGAATACGAAAATGGCAACAACAAAAAAAAGATATGTGTGTGTGCTCTGTATGTATGGGCTATGTGAGGCTAATTATTTGTCACATTCAGTTATGTTTTAATTATGTGTCCCTCAGATTTGACATTAGCATGTCCCTTTCCTAATAGAATCTGTTGCTTTTCACTGTCACTGAGCTCTGTTAAGTTTGGTATTAACAAACCAAATTTCCAGTGTTCCACTCAGATATTATTTGTCACACTGTAAGAGGAGGTGCAGCTCTGTCTCTACCTACCCTGTTGTGCAGTGACCACAGACTCAGTCCTCTGTTAGTAGCTAGGACTTCTTTTGCCATCCTTTCTCTGTGATTAGACTGTAGTCACTGAGTCTGTATTTGGTCAGGATCTGTCTCTGCATTGTCTCTCTGACAGTAAAGAGATACTACGGTTAATTTATATTCATGGCTTAGGGCCAGACCGCAATTACATTTGTTTTGGTTTGATTTATCCAATGTTCCAGATAGGCATCATAGATTGTTAATTTAATAATTTGGTTTACTCTGATTAGTGGTTGGAAAGCAGTGATGGTATGAGGCTGAACAATATAACTCTCTCTGTAACTCTAAAGTAACTCTCTCTCTCTCAACACGGCTGTTGACCGCACACCCAGAGCGTGATTCTGGTCACGGTTTCTTCCTGTTAAAAAGGGAGTATTTCCTTGTCACTATAGCTAAGTGCTTGCTCATGGGGGATCGCTGGGCCTCTGCAAATAATATTGTCTTGACCTGCTCTATATAAAGTGCCCAGAGATAACTTTTGCTATGATCTGACTCCATATAAATAAAATTGACTTGACTCTTTTTGCCCCACATACTATACAATCACACACATCTTTCCAGACCTACCTGGCCTGATCCATGCAACTCACCTGAAGGTTGAAATTTGGCAGCAACGACCGGAAAAACAGCGACAATGTACTCTCATTGGATGCACCAACATGCTGCCTATATGCAAACAAACAAACATGCATCTCATTGAAGTGTTAAAGCAAATTGAGGATATAAAGCGTGTTTGATTGAAAACCACAATATTTTCTTCTTTGACTCTACGATGGAATCTATGGGTCTCCCATTACCTCTCTGGTCGGGTATACGATATTACTGAGTCCAGTGGAGGTAGAGGGTCAAAGCCCATCACAGGCTGAGTGGTCACCTCCTGAGAATATCAAACAAATAAGCAAGATTAGAATCACTTCCCCAGGGGTGCATGAGTTCAGATACATGAATACTCCAGTGTTGATCAGCATTTTATTATCCAATCAATTCTCAATATACACATCACATATCCTTTGACAAAACTTACCTTTTGCTACAGCTTTTAGTTTTCAATTGCCCTATTTGCAGAATGATGCTCTCAAACCATGAGTTACAGTTATGGAGGACTTAATCAGCAAATTTTCAACATGGCATCACTGAAATCTCAAATTTGATCCACAGAAGTTTTTGCTAGCGTGAAATCTGATTTATAGATCAGGACCATCGGAGCATGCACTCATATAAACTTTAATAAGATGATCTCAGACTGGGACCTTAGAGAGTGAGGCCAGGAGTTATGCAGTGAAATTATTCAATCATTACACTCCAGTGCCTTTTGAGAATAATTGGAAAACCTTACATAACAAAACTGACAAGATTCTGATTTATCAGATGACTCACAATAAATACTGAAATCTTTAAAATTCGATTGATGCTGATCACACATCTAGATCACAACTCTATCGGTGAGTGGATTGAGGACATTGCGGATACAGTGAAAGTGTTGTAGGTGATCATTTCTTACTAGAGGCAAACTTGAGGTGGCCTCCTTGATCTCAGAGAGGAGGACGTGGCGATGGATGTTCCTCGGTGCACTCTGGTACCTCTGCTTTCTCCTACAACGGAGTGATGACAATGACGGATTTGAGAACAATTTTCTCAATTATGAAGACATTTGAAGTACAGTGGTAAGTCCCAGTTCACTGGGTAACAAATTCTAATCATATCCTAAGTCCTTTAAGCTTTTTACAATGCAATGTCATTTACTATTTTTAGTTTGCTTTTCAATGTCAATTAATGAAGGTCTCTATTGCTGAAAAAACAAAAGCTTAGCAGAAGTGTGAGCAGATCAATGAGATCTTACTTGTTTTGGCAATCCTCCACTAAAGGGTCTTTGGCATCAACTCGACGCAGCACTTCTTTCACAGACTCTTCCAACCAAAGCATTACTGGTGCCTCCCTCCACACATTGTAAGTCCTCCCCACATACAGAGCTGTCAGTTCAGCCAGAGCTGGGGGCTGCCTAGAAACAGAGAGGGTAGGATTACTTTTTAAAGATGGGGTTGAAGAAGTAAAGAAAAACATAAAAGCAAAACTCATGCCAAATAAGGTTCAAAATAAAGGCCATGAAAAGATTTATAGCAATAATATAATATATGTGTTACAGTTGAAGGCTATGAAATACTGAATAATAAATGATAAATCACACCATGCTATATTAACATAAATTCATCTTCATGCCAATACATGCTGGATTATGTAACGCTTATGGAGCATACATTACCCTATCTGACTCTTGGGGCCAAAGAAGGCATGTGAGGTGACAGTAGCATCTGGCTGCACAGTGCACAGATCCAGTAGAGGCATCAAGACTGCAGAAAACACATTTACAGCAACACATATAGGTAAATACACATTTTCACCTTATAGCTTGATGTGACAAGGGCGTTGGCAGGAAAGTCCTACTATTTTATAAACAGAAATTTAGCCATGCCATAAACAATGCGAAGAAATGACTGAAGGGTAATCGTTTCTAAATATTTATATGCTGGGGGTTGTATCCTTGTCTAACCTCCAGGGAACATGATGAGAGCATCCTGCAGCATCTGGTCAGCTTTGTGTCTTTGTTTGTCACTTTCTTCAGGATCCATGTCTTCCTGCTGACTGAGATGGAAATGGCAAAGCGCAGTGGAAAACGCAAAGTTTGGCAGCTGGGACAGATTTCTGTGCTCCTGAAATGCAACAACAAACCATCTCTGTATCAGACTGATAAGTAAACTTTGAACTTCAGTTTAAAATCACATGTAAATACACACATATGAACATGACAGCACTCTTTACCTCCCAGTCCTGATATAACTGAAGGAGAGACTGGTACTCTCTGGTACGCAGCATCAGGAAATCAATGAGGAGGAGCATGCAAAGTGGGTCAGCATCTGGGTCCAAACTAATAAAAGTGTACAAGCAAATGATTACTACAGGCATTTGATATAAACAAGAATCCAAGTATAAGTCTTACCCCACACTCCAGGGTGGAATATAAATGCTACTGACAATGACAGTGAAATAAGTTAATTTTGCTGGTTTCCTTCAAAGCCCAGCACAATGTATTTGATACTATCTGAGATTATATGATGATACAGAATGTAGTTTGTGTTAAAAAACAAACAAACAAGGGAATAAAAATACAATTATTGCTTCTTTTCTCACACAGGATTGACAGTGTTAATCATGTCATACAGTATATGTGAGTCGCTTTTCAACATTCGTTTATCAATCATATTGCCCTTTTAAACAGAGATTTAATCACTACTGGTTGGAGGGGGACAGCCATCAGCTTTTATTCCCACCCTGCTGCCTTACATAGGACCAGAACATAGCTGCCATGAAGTCAGGAAGCCAGAGTTTGATGAAAATCATAGATAAGCATTGACCATTATATGGACAGGCTGTAAAGCTCAGGCTATGGCAGACTGATGGTAGCAGTGTGTGGGAAAACAACCCTCTCAGTGTGTATATAGCCTTACGTTAGGTGGTATCTGCACCAGCATGACCTGTGAGGTTTTAATGAAATGTGAGATTTAAACATGTCCACTGCCTGTTTCTAGATTTTATCGCTAATGTAAATGTAAATTATTTTATCATGGTCATAACCATTATCTAACATTATCCTGTTTTTCACTGTATCACTTTTATATAGTATAACAAATTTGGAAAAACATTTGAATGTCTTCGAAAAAACACTATCATCAATAAAATAGCACATATTAGGAACTGCTTTTGACTTTGGAAATGACATAAGGGGTACATCTTTGATCAATATCAGTAGTCATACAACAGACTAAACATAAAACACACTGAATTACCATCAGCAGACTATAAACGTGGTTGTTGAGTTAACAGTCTTTGAAGAATATCTAAAGTCTGATGACTGCTCTCGGTGGTTACCTTATTCATGAAAATAAGAGTTCTTTTTGTTTAGCTAGTAAGCCATGTGATCATATGTAATACTTTTCATTGTAAAAGAAAAGAGTGTCTAAACTGTCAACTGCCAGATAATAGAGTAGATAAGTTAGTCATAAAGAGACCAGGGACCTAATGACTGTTACTGAAGTAAGTGCTATGTTAATGATCGACCTGTAAATGCAGAAGAATATGGGTTTTTCTGTAATCTTATCTAAAAATGTCACTGTTTTCCATTAACTCTGTAGCTTGTCTTTCGCAGAGGTTGAGCTTTTGTCTTTGTACCTCAGGATGAGTTTGCAGTACTCCAAAGCCGTCCGTGGACATCCTCTCTTCTCCAGGAACATCATGTGCTTGTAAAGAGCAAGATAAAAAGCCCTGCAAACAGAGATTATTGAATGGTTAAATTCCTTAAAACACAATTTAAGATATGAACAATAATATAAAAGGTCAAACTGATGCCTCACAAACTTAAAAAAAAAAAGAGGAAAAAGGAGTAACCAACCTGTTTTCTGGTCTCAGATAATCAAGTCTGCTGGTACCTGAGGTCAGGCTGAATAGAGGGTGAAAGGCGCACTCAAAGCTGTACAAGGCCCTTTCTTTAAAAAAAAAAAAAAAAAAAAAAAAAGACAAGTAATTATAGTTTTTATTTATATTTACTCCATCCACCGATGCAACAACACACTGCATAGTTTAATTTATAGAGAAAAGTAGTAAACACATTTTGTTGTTCTTACATACAGCTACCTAACCAGCAAGACTTTGCAACATAAAAGACCAGAACTGAAAAACACTGTTTTACTTATCAGTCTCATTTTAAAGTTCAACTGATGGAATGTTATTAAATTAACCAGGAAAGAAGACAAACATCCTTTGTTAATTTATCCCTCTGGTATTCTACATAAACTATTTTAGTTATCCAGTCGCCAAAAGGGCCTGTGATAATAAAACTATTATTGTGCTTTGCATGAAGCATGAACTTCGACTTGTTAACAATGGCTGTTTTGTTGACTTACAGTTTACTAAAGAACTCCGTCACTAAAATAACCATGATTATTTCGCCCAATAATCTGACAAAAATTGGGAATCATCAGTGATTTGACTACAGTACTTTATGCAGCCTATATCACTATCTTGTGTCAATCTAACAAGTAAACACTTTGCCACAGCAATATGCTGACCAGACTAACAACCCACAATGCCTGCAGGACCAAAATGAGCTGAGTTTGGCTCAAATTGTTGTATGCTTATGGTTATAATACATTAGCTGATCACTGGGTTTCTTTGTAATTACAAATGCACTTATTTTTAATTATTTTTCTGATGGGTTTCTCTGTTAATTTAAAGGATTCCGCTTCACACTAATCTATGAATAGTTCATATACACATTTTCAGTCTTGTCTGTTTGTAATCTATAGAAGAAGCCCATAATCCTCACCGATGAGATCCCTGGCCATCTCCTGATCCTCCTGTATGCGGCACACATCAGAAAGCTGCAGCAAGGAGTCGATGTGGTAGGGGTTAAGTTGTAGCAAGGCCTGGAGAAAAAAAGAGACAATGGTCAAATTGACAGGGATGGACAAAGACATACAGTTTAACTGTATGAAGAGTGATGTGGATAATGCAACAAAGCATAGTATAAAAACACAGTTTAAGTACAGTGTATTCGAAATGATTCATTGTTGCATTCAGTAAAACAGCACAGTAACTAAATCCAAGCATGAAATGATTCATATTGCTCAAATAATAGATGAATTACCAAGGTCAACATCTAACTTCACCACACTAGAGATGATGGCAACAGAATTTTAATCTTGAATTGAAAGTGAATGGATCCTTTTTTTTTTTTTTTTTTTTTATTCAGCCGCAGTGCTCCTTGGCATATTTAGAGTTCAGTTGTAAGTTGAGCAGAGGGTGAACTTTTTTTACCACAATGTTGTTGGGATCCATGGACTCGACAGCATCCAGGAACTTGAACTGTACTTGTTGGTAGTCCCGGCCGTGCTCAAAAGTGAAGTACTGAATGCCGTCCTTTGACTGCAGTAAAGTCATTGAGATTCCTGTGAAGACGTCAAACAGGTTTTAAAAACAACAACACATAAAGAAATACACACTAGGGTAATACAAGGTGAGGATACAGTCCAAACCGTAAGTATCTGTGCTTCAGCACATTCAAGTTGAAATGAAATAATGGACACTACATTAAAGTCCCAAGTCTCAGTTTTAATTTGAGTAGGTTAAGGTCAATATAGAAAAAACGGTGTGACAGATATAGTCCTTTTGACACATAGTGCCCAAAGTTTAGGGTTCAAAAGTAATTAGACAGATACAATTAGTTTGTGAAAAATCCTTTGCAGTCCATGTCTTTAATCCATAGACATCAGAAGACATTTTGTACCCTCCCTGATGATGCATCACTACAGCCTCCTTCAGCTCTTGCATTTAGACTGGTCTTCAGCAGGTGGAGTGCTGCTTAATCAGACTGAAATCATGTGATTGACTTAGCCAGTCGAAGATATTCCACCTCTTCACCCTGAAAAGCTCTTTGGCTGCTGTGGCTGTAAATTTAGGATCGCTGTCCTGCTGAATGATGAAATGTCATCCAGTAAGTTTTGATGCATTTGGATGAATCTGAGCACACAATGCTCCTGTATAACTCAACATTCATCTCATTGCTCCTATCAGCAGTTGAATCAGTGGCAGCCATATATATCTATATATATATCTGGAGGGCATTCTTGGCTTGCTGTGCGGATATAAAGCGATTCTTCTTCACCATGTCAATGATTTTACGCTCATCCACAAGACTTGTGCTCCTTGGTCTGCCAGGTCATTTGCCATTTTTTAGATTTCCTGTGAACGCCTGCTTTCTTAGAATTTACCCAACAGCTGATTATGGCAAAACAATTATATTTGATATATCTAATAGATTTCAGCTTTTTTTGAGCTTCATTATTATCTTCTTCTTTTGTCCTCAAATTGACTGACATCTCCGTCTCAATCTAAATGGCAACTCTTAATCAATTTTGAGAAAGCGTGTGAGCTCTTTTATGCATGAACTAATACTTAAACGACACACACTGTAGCTGCCCAAGAAACATTTAGTAGCCAAGTGTCCAATTACTTTTGAACCCCTAAACTTGGATAATTATTTGTGTAAAGAGGTAAACAAAAAACAATCACGATTTATTTCAAAATACAGACAATGATTCTTTGTTTGCTGTTTGCATTTTCTGAATACCAACACATGTTGACTGGAATAAAATAACTGCAAATAATGACTTCTCACGGCGTGCCATGATTGATTGATAGAATTAATCATGGCGAATTTGATAATAAGATGCAAGACGACCTATATTTTCGCAGTGATGCAACACTGTTATAACATGAGGGAGATGGTATGAGTGGTGATCTAAATGGTGTCAACAAAGTAATGGTTATTAGCAAAATCATATTTCTGGCCTTAACTTTAACTCAAAGAAACAGTATGAGTGAATTAGGAAATGTCCTCAATAAAGTCCCTTGTGTACAGATAAGGGTAGGTCTGCCACTTTAATAGCTACCTAAAATGACCTTTGTGGTAAAAATCAAATCCAACCACAGCATGAACCAATAGCAAAAAGATTACACAATACATCAATAGTGACTTTCAGTGAAGGCAGTCTTTATGATGACGTCAGTACAACAAAACTCTCACCATAGAAAAATCATTGATTATGGTTTCTTTGGACTACAAGATGCAGAAACATCTACAAGCGCTTAAGGTTGTTTAGGTCATTTCAACTCAGTTGACATGGAGAGCAGCCTGCAATGGGACTGTCATAACTACAATCCGCGTGTGTGTGAGTGTGTTTTGACGTATGAATCTTAGACCACTGGGCCACCTCAAAGCCAAAAGAGTTTTCATTTTTACATAATATATCAATGGAAAAGCAGGAGTCAAGTGGGGTCAAACTAATTAATATTCTATATATTCTAATATTAGCCCAGCAACTCATTGTATCAACAAAGGACACAGACAGGCACTTCAGCCTGAAATGACACATTTACAAAATGTACAAGCTATAATTCAGATGACTGTAAGGAAAAGGCTACCTGGGCGGCTGAAGCGAGGCCAGCTGTCTTTGGGATAGGTCATCCAGGTGCTACGGTGAAACTGTCTATTTCTCTGTCGGGGTCTGTCAAAAGAAAACAAAAATTGAGCATAACAATATGCTGTACACATACAGAGGACCTGAGCCATCTAATTCCAAACTATCTCACAACATGATTCCTTCTCTTTTTACCTTTGATCCCCAAGAACAGCTCGAGCCCCAAAGTATCTCTTCAACTCCGTCTCTGGGTTGAGATTCCTAATGAATTAACACAGAAAATAACAGGTTAATTTACACTGTGGATCATTGGAAGAACTATAGTCTGAGGAAAACACAGGGCCTGTTTAATTTAGATATTATGGACATGTGAGTTGACAAGTTGCCTGGTAGACATACTGAACAAATAGCATTCATATTCTTACTTTAGAAGTAATCATTATGAGTCAGGCATCCTATGCAAGCCTAATAGCTTGTGAATGCCAGTGTTGCTTTCAACACAGATTATTTGCCTTTGACAGGTAATGGCCTTTTCTAGCATCACAATTTGGTGTGTGGTCAGATGTGCAACACATATCAACACGTTTTAACCTTTTGTAATTCTGTGTTCATCACTGTAGTGCATCACCTGAGATAAATATTTTCCAGTACCAGAGACATGACATCACATGCTGTCAAGCGCCACCACATGGTGGCAATTAGGAATCACAGACTAATACTAGTACGATACAGACTTATACTAAGTGAGACTAAAGACTTGACCAATGACCAAGACATGTCATCCGTGCACTGGTCAAGAACCATTTTTGTAAACATGCTTGTCTTGTCACCTGTGCTCCACATGTAGAACAGATCGTCTGTCGGCACCTCCACAATCTTCATTTTGCAAACTCAGACCATTTGGCTGCTCCAAATTCTCCAGCAATATATCAATGTTATCATCTGGTGCAGCCTTCTCAAAACAGACAGGGAGGTCATTAAAAAAAACACATGAAATTGTGAGATAGAATGGTGCTGAAAGGAGCTGAAGAATGATTGTAAGACACTGTTTTATTCATATTATCAGTAAAATGATTTTCTTATTATTTGTAATGAATTCTAATAAAAGTATTACCAATAAAGTGGTCCTTAATTCTAAGAATATAGGGTGGGTTAGCAGATACTGAATCCCTTCTTAACAACATACCGGTCCATCCACTGATGTTACTTTTGTCTTCTTCTTTTTCTTCTTCTTTTTAGCTCCATCTCCAGATGAAGACTGTTAAAAGGAAAGAGAGATGACAATTTGATGTATGCAAAGATGCTCATTTAGATCAGTAGAATATTTAAGTCAAATCAGAGAATCACAGAAAGACACCCTTCTCATTTTTCTTTATCTTTACCTTCGTAGAAGTGTCCTGCTGCTTTTGATCTGGTTTGTCAAAATCTTTGTTGTCATTCTTTTCTGTGCCACTTGTTTTATTTCCATCTGGTTTCTCTGCCTCTTCATCAGGTGAGATTTTCTCTGCCTCATTGTCAACATCACATATCTAGTAAAATGGGGAATAATGTGTGTTAAGAAAAGCAGCACTATATCTGAGTAAAAACCCCATAGCTAGATGACTCACTGATAAAAAGAAATAGATAGATAGATAGATAGATAGATAGATAGATTGATAGATTGATAGATTGATAGATAGATATTTTATTTATCCCCTAGGGGAAATTCATTCAGATTACCCAGCATCTAGGCAACAACATATTTCCTTACATTATGTCATAGTTCAAATAAATCAAATGCCAACATGGACAAGTACTCTCGTAAACAGGACATGGAGGGATTAGTTGGACCCTGTGCATATTTTATTAACTATATGTCTCTATGTTGTGTCATAATTTGAAGGCTAGTAAACAAGCCTATTGTACAGTAGACGCACTGCACTTTTTTGTCAGTATCCTCTTAAAGCTGGTGATGTGGACTACTTCCCAGTGATTTTCTCAATTGATAGACACTTTGTTATCAAACTTTTACCTATAATATAATGTTTGTGGATTAACAGCACGGTTAAATAAGATGAGACATGAGCTAACGCCACACGGCTAGCCTATGTTAGCACCGGTCATCAACGGAGAGCTCGCTGTAAACACACGACCAACGTTTCGTTCTATGTAGGTAACACCTAGTTGTAGAAATGCACCTTCACCTTACCAGTTCATAAATGTTGCTGAAGTTTTTCTGAGCTTTGTTTTTCTTTGCCTTTCGGCTGCTCTCTTTCCTGTCTGCTGGTGGGTGAGAAACATTAGCCACGTCCAGCTGCTCCTCCTCACCCTCAGCCTGCTCCACCGGGCTGTCATCCAAAGTTAGATTCCCGAGGTCCAAGGCCTCCTGGCCCCGCTGTTTCCCTCGGAGCCTTCGCAGAGCCCGGGTAGACATTGTCCACTACTAACGGGACACATACACTTTAATATTTGTGATTAAATTAGCTTTTAGTTAGCTGACAGCCACAGAAGACCAATAAAGTGACAGTCAGTTCCATTGGTTTCTATCTCTTCTTCTTCTTCTACTACTACCACTTCTTCTTCTTCTTCTACTTCTTCTTCTACTAGTGTTAACGCTTCTTTGTGTATTGCCCTCCACTGCCCTCCACAGGATGGATGGAAAACTGCATCCACTAGAATCGCACTCGGTAGAACGCATACCTCAGCCAAGGCCAAACATTTTCTTCCACCATATCCTGATTATTGTCCGGATCTGCTCAAAATTCAACAAACTCATTGAGCTCAAAAATATATGTGTGTGTCTGTTTGTTTACATCAAGATGCACACTACTTTCTGAGAAACTGATGAAAATGTCGAAAATGCCCTATCTCTCAGGGTCAAGGGATGTGATTAAAAAAAATTCCTGGGTCCGCCATTTTAACCGGATCCCCCCCAAAGTTAACTGGTTCTTCCCTGACCCATGTAACATCCCGCCACTAAGTTTGGTGCAAATTGGTTCAGTCCTTTTTGCGTAATCCTGTTGACAAATAAATAGACACAGTGAGGACATAACCTCCCTGGCGGAACTATTCATCAGTTCCTTTTACTTAACTTTTCACAGGGACAATGTACATATTTGGCCCTATTTCTTCTATGATCATTAAAATAACAATGAAAAAGACAATATGCAAAATCAGAAAAGGAGAAGTTAAGTGATAGCCTACATAAAGCAGCTAAACAGAGTGACAGACAACAAACTAAAAAAAAAAAAGTGAGATAAGCAATAGGCTAGTAGTCAAAAAACAGTGTGAGTTATTCATACATACAATAATGTAATGTAAACAATTGGTTCAAGCGGTTAAAACATGTTAATGCATATAAGCACAAGCAAATAATACCAGGAGGTAGGCTAGTGAACCATCAATATAGTATACTCATACCGAGCATGTATGAACTGCAATTGCCTTTCTGAGAGATAACCTGAGAAAACCTGAATTTGACAATCTCACAAAGCATCTAATTTTCTGTTCTAAGGGCTACTACATTTGCATAACCCAGTTGGTTGATTTTGCAGAATCTACAAACCTACAGTGTCCCAGTGCTGTTAATTTAACCATACCCCGACACACAGGTGTTAGACCTTTTCACCAAAGCTTGAATGGGACACTTTCCCATTCAAGCTTTGGTGAAGAGGTGTGTTCTTCATATCTACTTTCTCAATTTTTCTCACCAATCCTCCTCAGTCCTCTTTTGTATTTAAACTCTTAATTCCACCAAGGGGTACAATAGCTCCTTTCTTTAAATTCTGAGAATGCTGTAATTTCCTTTTACATTTTATATTGGAATAGGGACCAATATAAGTAACCTGAACATATTTATTTATATGTTTCTACATATTTTATTTCATATTATTATGTCATTTTAAATAGGCTATTTTTAGCCACTTTGATATCATGTAAATTTGGATTGTTAAGTTAAACTCTTAAGGTACTTTGAAACTTTTTCAGTCTTTTTCATTGCTCTATAAATGAACTTTTCTATCTCGTGTTCCCTAAAAATCTTATGCAACATATTCACTGCTCCCCAAGTCTTCTCAGTTGGTTTGTAGTTCTCTCATGCAGCAGGAGGTGGCAGAGTAAAACCGAGAGAGAGTAAAACTGCCTGATCAAGACAAGCAAGTTTTCATTGTTTCTTCTTATTCGTTATTGGTAGAAAGATTAGACATTGGTGGTGTGTCTCAAATCTTACAGCCTAACAAACCAAAATGAGGAAGTATCATTGTACCTCTGAGTTTGCCACACATGCTCAAGCTGCATAATAAGTCAGCTGTGACCTTCAAAAGAAACCCCAGAGACATGAGACAAGATCTGACACAAAAGCACAGAACTTGTCTGACAACTAGCAGTTAAGCCAGATGTTTTAATTGTACATTCTTTCCATCACAAGCCAACAAAGGATGGTACTGTGACAAACTATGTTGCAATGAAAAATTGCATCTCAAGAAACACTTGAGATGAGAAGGGGAAATTCTGGTTTATTGAAATTCAGTGTGTTTGCGAAAGGGGGAAGTTGCAAATGTCATTACTTAAAATAATTTTCCAAAGGAAACTTGTAAAATGAGATGCAAGAAAGTACAAACCTAAGACAGATATGATTCGATGAGTGCAATGGATTTGATTACAAGATATCAAAAGTACACAAAAAAATAATATATGGTTAATATCAGCCTGATACTGCCAAAATAAAATGTGTCAATTTATTCCTAGCAGACAGTAGACTGTTGCCCCACAGTATTGTGTTTAGCTAACACAATTACACAAGGGTTAAGAACAGAATGTAACATAATGTATACAGTTTACAATATATTGTGAGATCTATGAATGACAACACAATACAGTGGATGCAACAAAGTTTGAAATATATGATGGTTGGAGCAGAAAACAAGTATTTTACTTATTATTTTACTTTTATCACAGCAGTTAAAATACAACATAAAGTCCTTTGACTTGACAATACATATATGTGGTTGCCACTTAGCAGCTATAGCATTTACATTTATCTCCTGTGGCATGTTTTTTTGTTCAAAAGTAAAACATGATATTCAATTTTTAAGATATTTCTCTGCAGGTTGAGGTATAAAAACATGTACCCGACATGTTGTCCAGTCACTAACTTCACTAGGCTTCCGAAAACTATCCATTTGTCCAGAATCACAGAACCTGGTGACGTCCCGCAGTGACTGGTTACAGAGATAAAGAGGATGGGGCACTAGACTGGTTACTCGTCGGTCACAGTCATGGGGTTATCATATGCTGCTCCCTCCAGGTCATCAACCCGTTTCCTGTGCATCTCTGGAGGAGGTCTTGGAGGTGGGTTCTGAGGAGGATTCTTTACGCTATCTACTGGCTTTCGGATCTCCTTCCGTGGAAGAATGGGCTCCCAGTGCTCACCATGGATAGCTGCCTATAAAAGCAAAAAGGTGACAAGGAATACAAGTCAGTAGTGATTGGCTACTGTAAGAGCAAGTTAAGCATGGCTAACTTGAGTGGTTAAAATAGCAACAACAATAATGAAATGTTGAATAACAGTGGCTCTTTTACTGTACACTCACAGCTTTATGTATAATTATGATTAGATAAACTGCAGCCTAGAAAGCTTTATAACTCTGTTTGCCACATTTAGAACTGTTGAAGAATTCAGTCACACCCCTGACTGTCAGCTTTCATAACTAAGGGCCATGTCTCAACAGAGGTGCCTGTAATGAAACAATCTCTTCCTTGTTACCATTTCCTTGTTTCAATTAACTGGCCTCTTTCTGCCACAGCTAACAACTTTACCAACGTTGGCAATATTTCACCTGCTAGACTGGAGAATAACGTGGTAAGTGATACCAACTTACCGCAAGGTAGATGAGGCTGGCTATACCGAGGCACACACATCCGAGGACCGTGGCCAGCATGAAGCCTCCAGGTACACAGATTCTAAGAAAAGCCAAAAGACAGGAAGAGATTTTGAGGACATAAAACAGTAATGACAAGTCTGTTGTTGGAGAGACTGACTGTCAATGAGAGGAATGCTGTTTAGCAAAGGTAAGTGGCGGATAAAGTGAACTCACGCAGCGTGCAAAAAGGCTCTGACATAGTAGTTCCTTGTTAATGGCCCGAAGGCTTTTACACACACAGTGAAGCAGTACTGGCCCCTGAGGGAAACACAATCAAATCACAATAGTGAGCAACATGCTTTGCAGGCGATAATATCACAGAATTTGTCCATTAAACCACAGCAAATACGTTGCAAAAACATGAAATGATAAAACATCACTTACGTTCTGGCCATACTTGTGCCCTTGGACCTCTTGCTTCTGGGATACTCAAGAAGACACACAAACACTCCAGCAGCACTAGTCGTCTGTCAAGGTTGTTTCATCTTACATGATTGACTCAAATAATAACTGAAAGGACGTCAACGTGAAATTAAATGAATATTACTGGCCCTGAGATGGTTCAGCAGGTGTAGGAAAACGGATGAATGGACTGATTGTTTCTGATATAAAGGAGAATGTAGAATATGGTAAGAATTCAAGGGGGGGAAAAAAAACAATTTCAGCCATGTTGTATTTTCACCAGTGCAAAAATATCATGATTCTTGCATCTAAATGGAGGCAGACACATTTGAGACATTATATATCTGTTCAAGCCTTAATACAGACAAATATAAGACCGGGTTTAAACAATAATATGACACCTCATCGTGGTCAGTCGACCGTGTAATGCATCATATGTGTAAACACTCTGTTAGTTACGCCTACAGAAAGTATTTCAATAGATGCCATCGGCACCATCTAGATAGCAACTTTTAAAATACTATAAATATGCATGTAGTTGATATGGGCAGTGACTTCAATTTACTTTTCCCCCTACATTTTAGTCACTTAAATGACATTTCTACTTTTAAGGTTCAAGATTTATGAATTTTCACACAGCACAGTAGCCTATCGTACTAAAAGACTACTAGTCATAAACAGTATATAGCTGCAAACTTCCTCTGAACAGACTTCAGTTCTGGTAGAGAAATCATTCATGATGGCAGATCTTAAAATATATTTCTATCTATCTATCTATCTATCTATCTATCTATCTTTGAAAAAGAATTTATGCAAAGTATAAAGGATACACTGCATAAGCAGCAAACTGCCAACCCCTGAACTGTCCAGCCACCCCCACAATGCCTCCAGTGAGGAGAACTGAAAGAAGGAAACAGGAAGAAAAAATGTAAAATGCAAAAGACAATATACCTTTTATAACTCTACATCATGACACAGGCCCATTAAATTGTACATTTACTTGAATTTGAAATGCAGTTTTATTTCTTTTTAATACAGAACTGAATTTACAGATTGGAATTATGTAAAACTGTAATAAAACCAATGAGTGGATTTACTCTGTAAGCAAAGCTAAGAACATAACTTCTTATGAAAGTATACTATCCTGAATTAAACTGCTCATATAAGTGAATTGGACATTAATAGATAGCCGTTTTTGATCTTTAGGACAAGTTTTCATACTCACTGAGTCCTGAAGCCAGAGCCTGCTCGTTGGCCCACATCGCCCACTCTATTTTACCCATTGCGTTCACCTTCACAGCTCCACTGCAGACGACTGAAATTGTCCAGAGAACGACTTACACCTTTGACTGTCTCTACAAGGAAGAAAATGTTTTTACTAGATGTGAGGTGTGCGCGGCTGGGGGCGGGGCTTATGTTAGCCAAGCCCCTTTCAAGCGTCATTTCCAAAAAAATGACTTGACAAAAGGACTAACCTCAGGTTAGTTTGAGTTCTTCTGGTGAACCCAATGAATGTCATGTGTAAATCTTACTGGTTGAAGTCTAAACCCTTTCATATCTGATTTGTCCACAGATGAATGACTTCATAGATTTGACTGATAGGTGATTTTTCAAAGCACACTGAGCTAAGAGACTTAATCTGCTATGAGTTAGCAACACACCAATGTAGGGCAATTTAAGTATACCATATTATTTCTATGTTTTGTTGTCATTTACTCTGTCACTGAAAAAAAGACACAAAATACACTGAAACAAAGCAAAGTATAATCTGGAATTATCATCTGGACTGTTAAAACTATCTCAATGACTGTCCAAAAAACAAGAAGCAACTTCATTTATATTGACTAAAATATACTTTATTCGGTTTTACAGAATAAGATGAACATAACTTAAGTTGGTACAGTATGTTTTCAAAAGATGAAAATGAAAAAAAAATTACTGAAGTGACAATTTCATGTAAAATAACCTCCTTAGACATAGAGAAGTGGTGAAAGTGCATTGTTGGCACCCCATATCTACCAGCACAAGCTCAAGTCTGTGAGCAAACCCTTTAGTCACACTCATCAACTCGACAGCAATAACTGCCTCCAGATACTGAGAGCTGTGGAGAGCTATGCATAAACATAGAAGCATACAGTGTGATGTAAAGACAGAAAGACACACTAGTCCAATTTGAGAAATGAAGGGGGAAATATTAGCACGCATAATAGCAAAGGAGGTGCCTGGTGTTGCTGCCATTATAAAAACCTTTTTACATATGTGAAATGCAGTTTTTTTTTATTTCTGCTGAATTGGTTTCATTATTGCTCAGTGAAACTTTGTGTCTTCAGGGCTGCAGGGGCATCATTCAGTTTTCTTGGGGAAACCATCAGATCCAAGCAGGTGCTGAGTGGGATCCTCCACAACACAAGGGCCTGGTCCAGCCTTGAAAACAAAACAAGAAAAGATTGTCAGTGACTCATACCAAAGAACAAACCCAGCCTCTATGAGTGTCTGTGTGGTATGACTAAAACGCATCATATTTAAAAGTCTGTCTAATGACATCTAAACCAAATATTTTATATAATAAATATATATAATAAATGCTAATAATAAAGAACAATAATAATAAAAGAATATTGTAAAATAAAAATAAAAAAGGTCAAAGACTGGATTAACTCTCTAGTGCTGCAGCAGTAAAGCAGACTGCTGTATATCACAATTTGTGCTACAATATTCACCCAAAGTAGTGCAACACAATGTTACGAAGAAGAATATTTGAAGGAAATGCAGACAAAAATCAAATTTGTGTATGTGTGTACCTTGGTACTAATAATGTAGCTTATTCCCTTTGGCATGGGCTCTAGACCAATAGCCTGCTTCAGGTCCTCAGAAATAGAAGCACTGTTAACTGGAAGACCCTTAATAAACCTGCAAAGAAGGAAGAAACACTCAGTGACACGTTAAAAAGGGCCTGGCGGAAAACACACCTTAACATTTACAACAGAGTCATATATTTACTCAGATAAAGTGGCTTTGCAGCGGACGACGCAGTAAAGCTAGATAAGTCTGATAACTGTCAACTCACTGTCCTCCATTGGTATCCGAGGGAAAGAAATGTTGAATCAACTGGACAAACTCAGGAACATGCTGCTGCAGAGTGAAGATCACAGCATTGGGCCCTGCATCAAAAGTGTAGGCCACCTAGAAGGAAACAGACAATGATAGTCATATAAAGGAGAGTTTTTTGTCTGTTCCCCAGTTTTAAAACCACCCCACAAGTTTCACATCTTCATTATACCACCTCAGAAACTCAGCTGTGTCAACTGACACACTCTCAGTAGCAGTGATAGTAAGTAATAGTAAGTCAGGTGGCTGCAGTCATACACACGAGATGAAAAACATTATTATAAGACATAAGACACCAATCATTTCTTAAGGCATTTCTTAAGGCATTTCAAATGGGTTTCCACCATTCAGAGCAGTCATGTTTCCACTTATTTATTGTACATCATTTTGCAGTTAACTGAAACTTAATCTTAACCATTGGGAATTAACATTAATTTGATTTTCTCTCTTTTATTGAGTTGTGTTGTCATTGTGCCCAAAAGCAGTACGAGGAACAGTACACAGTTATTTTTTTGTGCTTTCTCAGGAACAGAACTGTGATGTTGCTTACCCTTGTCTCCCCATAGTGCCTGTTATACCGATGCACCAAGCTGATGACCTGTTGAGACACACTGCTGAGGTAGAAGATAGGAGGGTATGTGTCAAGGCAAGTGGCATGGAACTGGTTACTGTCCTTCATGGTTAGTTCAGCAAATGCAGTGAAGTCCTTTCTCTGCACCGCTTCAATCATCTCTGCCATGCGGCTCGGGACAACAGACTCAGCCCGGTGCTACACCCACACAGAAACAATGGACACAGTCCCTCTTGTGAGTATCAGTCAGCTGACATCTCCTCCTCACTTCACATCTTGTTTAAATGAGGTATAGACCAACATACCAGTAATCACCACTCTTAACAGTATTGAGAGTAATGTTAGTACACTCAGTACTGCATGTTACAGGGTGAACAAATTACCTTTAGGAGACAGCTTGTTTCTACACTGGTTTGCATTCCAGAGGTGCTGCCTATTGGCTTCCGCTCAGCACTGGCCTGTGAGAAAGCACATCAAATTACACCTGGTGTTACTTAACTATTCTCAACTACAATGTGTATTTGAGATTATTGAAGACACTTACTCGACATGTTACACAAGAAATTGTCGTTTATAGATGTAAAAATAACAAAGAAGTGACTCACATAAAACACATAAAAGTGCCAATGCATCACTGACTCACATTCGTGCTTTCATTCTCATTTCATAGTCTCACACACACAATCACACCCACCACCAGTACGAGGATTCGGAGCTCAGGCCAATGAGTCTCTGGTTCCACCTGCTGGGCGAGACTGTCCTTGCCATCATCTTTTTTTCCCATGATCCACTGCACAAACCCCCCATACATACTCCTGCATGCGCTGCCTGAGCCTTGCCGAGCAATCCCTGACAACTCCCCTTCGACTCCAAACACCCGAGCCAGAGTGTAAACTGCAACACAGGGACAAAAGAGGGAGTAAGCACAGAGCAGCCTGGTATAAAGAGGAGACAATATTATTATTTTGTAGTTTTATAGTTATAGCTGTAGTTTCCGAGTTATATTTATATATAAATGGTTTAAAAGTTTGTGCTACTATCCATTTTGAAGAATAGACCAACATAGGCAACATAATATAGTTTGAACTTATACCTTCTACTATGGCTGCTTCCTTACATTATTCTGTGCAGAAAAGTAGCTACTGGAATTTAAATAGAATAAGTACTCTAGTATCATTAGTGTAGTTTCAGCCATTCATTGAAACATAGCTTACTCTCTCACCTAGGCAAGCGAATCCTGCAGCTGAGGAGGCAAGTCCAGCAGCAGTGGGGAAGTTGTTAACCGAGCAGATGTGGACTTTGTGAGACAAACCGGTTGAATCCAAACCAGGGTCTCCATCATTACGCCTCTTCCGTGCTAATCGTCGAACTACATTCAGAAGATAGAAAAATGACATTGTAACCTGCACTCCCAGTTTTTATCCTTTCTGTGCTTTTTAGGAGGAAAAATAAACGGACAGGACTCACTCTCTCTGAGACAGGACTGTAGTCTTTGATGGGTTATGTCCTCTTCTTTGCCGTTGAGCCATATTCGATCCTCCTGAAATGATCTGCTTGATGCAACTGTTGTGGTTGTTTTCAGCTGAACAGAAGTAAGACAAGACAAATCTATAACAGCTAGTTATCTATCTTATCACTATGATAATATCACATTAGAAAACTTTAGCCTCAAGATATTGCACAACATATGACACCATTTATGTCACCCATCGTCCAGGTACAATTCAAAGCCAAGGTCAATATTTTCTACAATCAGAATCATGTATTTATGCCATCTTGCAATGCTTCAGTTAAATTTGGTAAACAAACATTTTACAGCATCCTTATCACACAGATGTTGACGCTGCTGCAATGCCAGTTCTGCTACAATGTTTGTTGTTAGACATTTCAAGACTGACCATCCAAACTGAAACTAGCAGTGAACACAAACATGCTATGAAAGATATGGCTGGATGAACCTCTTCTGTAAACTTTGTTTATGGAGTCTTTATATGATAGCAAGAAGATACATCCATTCACTGTTGCAGCTCTGAACTGGAGCACGCACTCTCTCTCACACACACACACACACACACACACACACACACACAAATGATTCATAGACAGATCCATAAAAAGGTTGTTTATTTAAATACCTGGTCTTGATGCAATGTGACACTCAAGGATGAGTTAATGGGTAGAATTAGTTCTTCATTTCTCTTGCCCCCTGAAAAGTAAGTTTTATACACAGTACATAACTCATATATTAAACAATATGAATAGCTTTGACACCGAATGCACCTCATTAATTTCCATTTTTTAACACACAAGTCACCAATCAAGAAACACATGTATGGTCGTTTATACAGGATTTAGTTTGCATAGCGTCCTACAGCTACAAACCTACTACACAAAGCTAAACATACTTACAGTATTTGATGACAGCTATATTCACTGGAGCGGCGCATGTAACTATGTTTGGCTTGTCCATACTATTCTCAGGCATAGCTGTGAATGTAATCCGACCTTTGCAGTGATAAAAGTGCACCTGAATAGTCTTAAATACGGTGTACAAACTCCTCTCGTGTTTAGCAGCTTCACTATCGCTAACTAAACCTTTACTGAAGCGCTGAGAGGTCTCTCCTCATTGGCTGGTGTTGAACATGTGGCTAACGCCTCCGCCAATCAGAGCCGAGCCCTTTTGACGAAACAGTCGAAGTAGCCAATGAGAAATCATCTGACCACGGTCGTGCGAAAATGGGGCAAGGGCAGAGACCCTCCCACACAGCGTTTGGCTCATTGTAGTTATTTCAAGTCTATACTCAATTTATTTGTATAATAAAACAGTGTAGCAGCGTGGTGAAAGGGAATATTTATGAAATAAAAAATAAAAACTGACTGTAATTGTAAATCGACAGCTGAATACAGCTAAACACAAGCTAAATACTTAGTATAGTATTCAGGTACATTTACAGTGGTTATTATGCTAGTATTTTGTGGAAACAAAGCTTTATTCGCCTAGTGTTATTGGACTTAACACAGCATTTCTTACACATATAAAATAAAGTCAAGTTTCTCCCTCATTCTTTTTATTTTAAAAGTAGTTGGATACATTTGGCAATCTGTTAACTCGTTTCTGAAATGAAAACCAAAAACTGTGTAAAAACTCAAAACACTTATTCATATTATTAATGATCATGTTAGAAAAAACAAGCATGTAGATTTAAGGCTTTTTTTTAATTTTTATGTAAACCTTTATGATACATGTCAGCAAAAAGAAAATATCCAGGTGCAACATCCAAGGCTAATGGAACATTGACCCTGAATAGAGAATGGTATATTGTATTAATTCAGCAGTCTAGATAAAATGCATAAACAGAAATATGTTCTGCATTTTGTCTAGCTTCTTATGTTTGAAGAACAGAAGTCAACAGGGAGAAATAAATGAGAAAAGAATAACTTCTAAGAAGGACATGATAAATCACACGTGCCATGAGTTATCTGGGGTACAACACAAGCAGCGCAAATTTGTAGCAACTTGACTGAAAAGAAATCACAAAAGAACACCTTATTTGACACTGTGTGTATTCTACCCCCCACCACATATGACACAATGTCAACTTCACATCCTTTCTTTTCCCTCTTGGTATGTAGTTTCCAGAGACACACAGAAGCTAGTGTGGCATCCCAGGATTCAGCTAATAGGAATATGCTGGTCAAAGATGCTATCAGAGTCCCAGTAAAGCATATCCTCTCCTGATTTCTTGGCTCATTCCAGGGCTCCAGTTTAAAGTTAGTAATCGTCCTCATCGTCTGAGTCCATCACCCTCTGTCTGTTGAACTGGCAGAGGATAAAAAATGTAAGATTGTCAAGAGACTGCAAATGAATTAAGCATATGTGACATTTCAGTGGAACTTACTTTGACAGTCATCTTTTTCTCTGTTTGTTGACTGACTTTTTCTAGGATCTCGATCAAACCTGACTCCGAAATCTGACAAAAGAGAAAATCTGTTCATTGCACTGTTGCCATGTGTAAGAATATAAACATAAGGCCACACATACAGTGATTAAAGCATCAGAGACTATTTTCTTACCTTTCCTCCTAACTTCCCAAAACGAGCCATTTGAATGAGATAGTTTTCCACTGCATTGGCCTTCTCTGGTTTCACCAAAGCGAGATTGCTCACTGAGAAAAGAAAATAAGAGAACATGATTTATTTTGCAAAGGGAAATTTCAACAGTTTACAAGATGATTTTGAGGACACACTTACATCTGGCACGGGCAGACTGGTCTAGAACTTGAGCCAATATGGAGTTCCTCATGTCTGATTCTCTGTGAATAAAAAGTAATAATATTCCCACATCAGCTTTTAAACAGAAAACAGAAAAAATGCAATTATTAACCTGTCAAGCCACCCGAGCAACAGCTTGGTCCCTCAGCTACACTTTTAGATTGTATAGTTCTCATTGCTTTTCAAATATACTGTGCCTCTGTAACAGTAATCATCTGACAGTAGTTTGTAGATAATTCATTACACAGATTTTTCTTTCAATTTAAAGGCTTTTTGTTTATAAGAACTGTACAGAAGTAAAGGTAGTGTCTATTAGTAAATACTAATCACTATACTTGTATGTGTTTAAATTAATTACACATCTTACCGTTGTTTGGCCTCCTCTCCTTGCTGATTATTTGAAGCATCCTGAAAGAATATGTGAGACAGCAACACCACATTTAGGTTGGAGAAAGTATAAGAGAACATCTAAGGATAAGAATTTCAAACCAGCCCATATTCCCTTAACTTTGGTTACTAGCTTAAAATCAAAATGAAAATCAAAATGAGTTACCCCATCTTAATGTCCAGTTCCAATTTACAATAATACAGTCTTATAAATTTAAGTCTGAGAACATTTCTGGTTCAAGTTCAAGAACCAAAAGCTAAGGAAAGGAAGGGATGGGGGCCCCAAATCACCACCAATACTGGATTATTGAGGCTGTTTACAAATAGCAATCAAGTTTACAAAATCTTATGATAATATATCATCTGATAATAATTTCTTCTATCGTGTATGTCTAGCAATTACTCAACTAAGCATTGCAACTCAATCTCAGATATATCTTTAGCCCTTCTGTGGTGCAATTTTTTGTTACTTATCATTTCGTACATGTATACCTACAGCAATACATCTGTGATAAGTTACTAACATCTGACTACTAACATCACTTCATTAATCAGGCTGTGTTGAGCATTATGGTGAGTGTGATCCAGTAATGTAACAACATACTGTGTGTTCAGTGTGATGAAACCTGACAGCACTGCTTGAAATCTGCCCCAAAACATTTTATTCATAAAGAATAGCAACATATCATGGTTTTATCATAATGTAAATACATGCTTTTATTACAACTACTGCCTTCCAATAGTTTCCTGTTGTTGCTTTTTCAGTTTATTATGTAGTGAAGGAACACGTATTGCCGAGGAAACTGTCTTTCCTTCTCACTTAACAGAAAACTAAATAATCTATTGTCTACTTTTGAATTTGGCCAAGAATACTCTAAAACAGGTTAACTTTTTATAATTCATTGCTCAGATTTGCTCTAATATCGCTGTTATTGTTAGAGCGCTGTCTCGGCCGAAACACAGCTAGCAGGGAAACGATGCTGGTTCTTACTGGGGTTTATCTCGCTCACTGCTGAGTTAAAATAATTACAGTTTATTTACATTGAGAACAGCGCCTATAGATGAGCTATGTTTGTTCCCTGTGTGACAGCCAAATTAGTTGAGTTGCGGTGACTGGTTTAGCTACACTAGCTAGCAGCACACTGGGCTCAGCATCTCCTTATAAGGAGGGCGCAAACACGCTCTCCAGCTCATGTTTTGCCTTACCCCGTGCTTTGCCTGTAGCTCCGCCATTCTTTGCCGCCTAATTGCCTCCAATTCGTCGTCTGCCATGGTTTACAGTAGAAATGAAAACCCAAAAACCTGAAAAAGGATGAGATAGCGTACTAAAAGCCACACTGGACTCCCATCAGAGGCGAGGCCCTTCTTCTTCTTCTTCTTCTTTCAGGCTGACTGGGCACGGTTTGGTGCATTGCTGCCTCACACTGGTGTGATAAGGTCATTGCTACTTTAACTCTCTGAGGCCTACAGTATACTGTACATCTTGTGATATAGATCCGTGAGTTTGAGGAAGTGTATACTTCCCTAGTTCTCTGTTTTTGGGGCAGCCCGTCGCCAAACAGTGTTCTAATAGAACATTTTGTAATTCCCTGTTTGCCAGTTCGCTTGAACCCATAGAAAACCCACACTACATCCTTTTCTCTCCAGTTTAAACACTATCATTAAGATCTCCACGACTATGTCTGGTCCCCCACTTTCTGCCCCACAGAAAGTGTGCTGATGTTTTGAAAAATCTTAGCCGTGGATTCACATTAATGTTTACAAAAGAAAAACACATCTGACAGTAAACACCTTCTTTGATAATAACCATGCGCAAGCATAAGTACATTATATGAGTAATATGGTTTATTAATTGCAAAAAAGTTATATTGAATATAATAAAATCATTCAAATGGAATATATGCTGACATAAATGTTTCTGGTGGAGTTGCAACTGCCTGTGGTGTGTTAGACAGCTGATAGATGGAGGTAGCCTCGGGAGTCCATCATGTTTGGTCTCTAGCTTCCTCTGTACGTACTGTAAGAGAAGCAACTCATAAGAAGAGGGATGTGGTACTTTTGGCCAGGGTCATTTATAGTGAACACAATCTGAAACGAAATAAACATGAAAGAGATCAACAATTACATGTTGACTGACCGTCAAGATTTGCAAGACAAATTCACCATGCAGTCACAAAAATGTGGTAGGCTACCACAAGTAAGTAAGGCAGCAGTAGACCTAACATCTGAGGATATTAAAATGTCAACACAAAAACTTTCCTCACCTCAATATAGGGGTAAAAGCAGGTCTGTCCCATACTCGCCCAATACTGAGCAGTCTCAAAATGCATTTTGTACACACCAGAGGTAAACACTTCTTTTGTGACGAGTCCCGGGCAACGTCCATCATCATTAGTGGTCCTGTTGAGACGACATAAGATCTGTGATTGATGATATGAATTTTGCAAGAGTAATGTTTGAGATTCTCAAAGGGTTGTACTCTGTGATCTGTTTTCCAGGTTATTACCCAGTGGTCATCAATCTCCAAGTGTTTGTGGAAGGGTCTTGTCGATAGAGGCTGAGGGCCATGTTCGATCCAGGGACGCCCATCGCAGTGTTCAGCACATGGGTGGTCAGAGGACTAGGTGAGCCAGCCATTGCAGTGCTCTACAGAACAAGGAAGTAAGACTTTAAATGGATCGAGCAATAACATTAGACCATAATTTCAAGAATTCCACACATACAGGTCAAATTATATTCATGCAGGTTGTTTTCTCAAATAAACATTGCTTTCACTTGACTTTTAATTGTGTTTAGCAGTTTATTCCAACTTGACAAGATAAACACTTAAACATCCCTTCTTCAGTTTATACTGGACAGCTCTATCAAAGTTTTCATCATCACCAAGTTGACAGTGTTTTGACAAGCTGACAGTGTTGGGTTTTTTTTATGCAGATTTGTAGTTTTGTCAGTCATCTATTGAAAACCGAATATTGAAAAAAAAGAAAAGAAAAGTTGAACATGCAAGTGGTGATTTGTCACATATGAATCCTCAGGATAATTGAATAACAGGACATGTAATTAGCTACAGTACGATGTAGTTACCTTGTACTAATACAGTTATGTCAAATGATTTGTTATTTCAGAGACTGGACTGTTGCCTGCTCCTGCTCTCTTACCTCTCACAAAATGCCTCCACAGCCATAGATTCATTTTGCTAAATAATTAATCATTCATTAATCAGTACAATACGACATATTGAATATATAATGCTATATCATGTTGTATAATAAATAATGCTTCTTTACATGTAGCCTGTTAAATTAAACGTCATTCTTTTTATATATACAAAAATATATATAAAAATATATATAAATATATATTCAAAATTTATTACAAGATTTGCACTTACCTTGTTTCCAGGCAAAATATGACCCTTTATTTGCTGCAGCCTGTTCGCACTCATGTGCACAGATGACTAAAACCAGGGTCAGCAGTGTTAAATGTGATTTTATGGTTTGTTAAACAGCGTCAGACTTTTATCCTGTCACCCTTGTAAAGTTTTGCACACTGCCCTGTTCAGTAGACATGTGCTTATCTTTTTGTCAACAGAAGATCCGCTTGTGCAAGAGTTCCTTTTTGTCACAGTTTGCACTCAGCACTTTGAACTTAGTAGAAATGGATGATCACAGTGGACTGCTCTGAGGCCAAGGCTCATGCAGAGGAACACGACTGATGAAACCCTCAATACTCAACCTACAGCTTCCTGCTTGAATTCCACAAATTAATTCACTAACAGACATGTGATATGTTGAAGAAAATTCACTAGTCCTTAATTCCAAGTTTGCTGTAGAGGTGTGAGTGTATTGGTTTTCCAGAATACGGTGAGCCTACTGACAGAGAGTGGGTCTGAGGCAATAGACTGACCCCGAGTAAAGGGCTCAGGGACACATACAGTTGAGTTGTATTTGCATACAGTTGACCACACATGTGGTCAGACAGGATAACAAGGGGACCAAAAGGTGTAGAAACAGAAGGTAATTTTCTCTAGAGGCCTTACAGCAGGGGTCCCCAAACTACGGCCCGCGGGCCACATCCGGCCCGCCAAAGCAATTGGAGTGGCCAACTTAACGATCCCAGACAATCCCTCTAAACGTCAACCAATTTTTATTAAATTGCATTTTCCTATCATAACATCATAACATATCCGTACTTAAAGGTTGGCATTCTAATTAAAATTGACCATAGTTATGAGCTATTTATAGTTAATAGTGGCTCATCTTCACCTCCTCACACAATGGTATATTCTGACGTGACTTTGATCGTGACCGAGCCAGCGTCAAGCTGCAAAGTTCTGAGGTGGGAATCTGTCATGAAGGTGGTTGTGTCCTGCATAAACTTCATCAGAGCAAACGGACTTAAACACAGGCAGTTCCAAGCCTTTCTCTCCGAGCTAGAATCAGCCCACGGAGACGTGCTTTACCACACTGAAGTCCGCTGGTTAAGCCGGGGCAGAGTTTTGAAGCGTTTTTAGGACCTGCTACCCGAAATCAATGCCTTTTCTCCTGACAAGGGAAAAAACTGCTCCCATGAGGTCTTGATCGACACAGAATTGTTTAATGGGACCTTCGCCTTTATTAAACAGTATGCCATGTGGTCAGAAATTTAAACGGCGCCTTAAATCAATAATGACAGCGTCCAAAGCCGAAGGAAAAACTCCTCAATCTCCGACCATCAATTTTTTTCCATTCCCAAAGCATAGCGCA